TCGTCCATTCTACGCCCTTGATTTGAGAACTGGCAGAAAATGTAAAATTAGAAGCATTTAATATGTATTTCTTTATTGACATTCATAAGTGTAAATTGCGTTACCTACAAGATACCAATATATGGAACAGATTGCTATGCTACCCCGTAATGACTGTTCGCTTTTCCTGAATACCTAAGTACTTTAACCTAAGTACCAATTTTTTATATTTTGAATTTTTTCTCTCCTTTAAAACCTTTCTGAGAGTTCAAGGAATAAATAGGCCGTCTTCTAGTTTTGCACTTAGCAACATATTTTGCGATTCATTTTTATTTATACAGCCCTCAATTATATTCTTATGAGGAAAATGTTACCTGCAATTAGAACCGACGTTGTTTTTGTACAAGGTCTTTTTATATCAATATAATAGGCAATTTATATGAGGAAAAGCCTACAAAATACCTCTCTACCATTTTGTACAATTATTTAACTAAAAAAAAGGAACATTTCTTATGGTTCGTCATTTTATTTTTGCGGTTGAGTTATTTATTTATTTTTATTTATTAACACTTTGTTACATTAATAGTACATTTAAAAACAGGTAGCATAAATATCATTTGATTTGAACAAAAATAAGATTACACGTAGAATTATACAATTATTTAACTAAAAAAAGTAATCTTCTTTTTATGGTTCGTCATTTTATTTTCGCGTTCGAGTTATTTATTTATTTTTATTAATATATACAGTAGTCAAACCTCGTGTTATGTTTACGATTACCCGTTAAAGAAGTGTTATATAAGTACATATTAGGTTTTAGATTGCTGATATGAATGGCAAAAGTGGTTTATTTCAGTAGATTTATTTTCACAAACACTTTGTACGAGCCAAGGCTGTTTCTGCTCACGCAGGCTTTTATTAGTTCAACGCGACTGTTGTTCAGTTAAAATCACTCGTGAAGCACTTGCTTTAGCATTCAGTTTGCACGCGTATTTTGGTCGGTACAGTGTGGGTAGAGAAAACATGTTTTCAGCCAATAAACATAAAAATTTAATAACTTTTTTTTTAGTTTAGTTTTTATTAGTCGCCAGGCATTTAAAGTTATCTTGTTAGATACAATATGCACCTGGCTTATGAATCAGCCAAGTATTCCATATACGATTTTCAATTGCCCTCTCAATTTACTTCTATAAGGAGGGTTATACAGTCAAAACCGTTTACGACGACATCGTGTAAAACAACATATATATAAACCGGTTATATTGACCAAAATCAAAGATCCCGGTAGAATTATATTGTATTAGGTACTTAATAACAACGTTATCGGCTGTTACGACTATCGGTTTTTACAACCAAATATGAGTAGTCCCTTCGATGTTGTTATAACAGATTTTGACTGTATTTTTATTTTATATAATGTATAAACCTTAAAATATCGATTGTATAATTCAGCTTGCACGCTTATTTTGATGGTACAGTGTAAAAAATCATGTTACATATAAAAAAACAGTTAATAAGTTTTAGTTTTTTAGTCTAGTTGCTAGGCGATTGTCTTCATTTTGTTTGATGACACGTGAATCAGCCAAGGATTCCATTCTTCAAAAGTCCTGTCAGTTTACCTCTATAAGGAGGTCTATATTTATTTCATACAATCTATAATTTATAGCGGTTGAATATGTTGTTAGCACGCGTCACGAAAATAAGTAAATGATTATTCATTTAGGCAGGCTTACGTTTATTTATTTAAATGACATCACACGAATTCTTGATATCTTCATCTAGATTATTGCAATTGTGTTTAAAAACATACCATTGGTGCAACCTTTGAGGTCTGCGGCTCAGGTTTTTGTTATGTGATCATTTGTTTTTTTTTAATGCAAGTAGGTGATCAGCCATTGCTTGATATGTTGTTGATTTTTGAGTCAAAGGCCTACCGGTTTCCTCACGATGTCTTCCTTCACCGTTCAAGAGAATATTAAATGCGCACATAGAAAGAAAGTCCATTTGTGCGCAGCCGGGGATCGAACCTACGACCTCATGGATGCACGCTGAAGCCACAAGGCCAACTCTGCGTTGCGTTGCGACTGCGTTGTAATACAATGATAAATATTTCTATAGATTGGAAATGATGGTAGCCAAGACATTTCCAGTGCTTGACATAGTCACCGGTTTCCTCATGATTTCTATGAGCGAGTGCTAAACGAGCAGAAAGAAACATCCATCGGTGATTGGAATGAAGGGTTGAAGCACGCCGAAGACTATGCCAAGACGGGTCTAAGTGTGAGTTTCTCACAAATTGTGGGACGACCCGAGAGATTTCAGTGGTTCTTTTGTTATGAATTTAACCTTGACTCGATGAAACGTCTAATAAGTCACGCCATTTAGAGCACTGAATTGGCCCTTAGCGTCTAGGACAGTCTCCAATCAAGTTAATTAACGACAACAGTGAGAACACTTACTAGGAAGTAATTAAGCGTTTTTTTTTTATGGAAAAGGAAACTGTCGTGACATGCCTTGGGAGTAAGAAATGGATGATATATGTCAGGCAAAGCATGTCACGAATGAAGAAAAAAAAGAAAAATGCACAAAAAAATTACACGTTGGATTGATTTCCTTCTCCGCTTTTTTTAGAACAGGGGCCAAACGGGCAGGAGGCTCTCCTGATGCTAAGTGACACCACCGCCGGACGCTTTCAATGACAGACGGCTCGCGAGTGCGTTGCCGGCCTTTTAAGAATTGGTACGCTCTTTTATTGACTCTCGAATTGGTTCGGAAATACTTCAGCGGGCAGCTGGTTCCACATACTGGTGGTGTGCGGAAAAAACTGCCTAAATAACGGTTTTTGTCGGTTTAAAATTTGAAGTTGTTGTTGTCACGCCCCTTATTATTATGTTTTAATTATTTATTTAAAATATCGCTTTGGCGTGTAAGAATAATTCTTATTGAAATACCCGTAATCCTTGAAGATAATTGAATTGCGTTGTTTTTACATTTGAAATGTATTCACAAGATCATACAGGAATTTCTTTCTATCCTAGCTTGCTGGTTCTATTTTATTTTTTAAGAGTATTTCAAATTAAAAGGAGTGTCATCTTCCCATCTTTTTATTTGTCTTTCTCGTTTTCTTTTGTCATAGCGAGGAAGCCATCCATTTTTGACTCTTAACAATAAAAATACGTGATACGGGTGGCCTAATAGTGAGATTTTCTTTAAACTCACATAAAAGGTTTTTACTGGTATACGTATACTGACACTTAGATGGCTCTACTGTATTAAATTAATACGATAGTTAACCATACAAGTTTGTGGGATATAGTATTTTGAATGAAGTAACCTTTGATTGTTTAAAAAATGGATAAGTAATCTGGTGTGATACAATAAAGAATATATCTAATAAACTGTTAAGCTAAGTAATCGTTGTGACGAAATAAGCTTTTAGCCAAGCTAGAACAAAAGAGAGCTTTAAAGTTGCGGCGTAAGCGTTCTCAGCATTTCTTTTGTCGCAATACCAACTGAAGACATTTTTAAGTATATTGGCACGGCTATTCCTGGTGTTTTATTGCATATGGCATTATGCCACAAGGCTGCAATTTATAGCCAATGAAGTAAACGTCTTTATCTCTGCAAGATTGTTACCCTGCAATCGATATCACCATATCTATATCTTCAGATTAGCGTACGTTTTCTAAGGACATGTCGTTGAACGCAATACCCATAGCTACTATAGTGTATGGTTACATTTAGTAACTAACAATTGAATAGTTTTCCACCCCTATCACCTCGATGTCCGTACTTTGTTGGTGTCCACCACTATATGGAACCAGCTGCCCACTGAAGTATTTCCGAACGAATACGACTTCGGGTCCTTCAAGAAAAGCGTACGAATTCTTAAAAGGACGCCAACCACTCGTGAGCCGTCTGGTAATGTGAGAGTTCAAAGGCACTGCAATCACTTAATATAAGTGAGCTTCCTGCCCGTTTGCCCCGGGCTTTATATATCTGTATTCTGTAGGCAGATATGTACAAATTTTCGATTTATTTATATATAATTTATGTACGATAATTGTAAGATACTCAACCCATCCTATGCTGAAACGGAAAGTATTCTTATCGTGCAACCATAGTTTAATTATAAAGTTGTAAGTGTTATGTAGAAATTATTACGTCAAGTACCGTTTATATGTCAAATGGAAAACACTAGATGACCACGATACTGTAAATGGTAGTGTATACATAATACAATAGAGTGTAATCCCCTTACACTCTAATACGCGTTAGCGTTAATAGCGTTAGTTTAGCTAAGCTACGTTAGTTTAGCTTAGCTCGCATAGCTGACCCAATTTTCCATACGTCTGCGCAGACCGCAAACTATGCGAACTAAGCTATGTGAGCTAACTAAAATATGCGAAGCTAAGTTAGTTGTGTATGCCGATGCGCAGCTACACGAGCTAAGCTAAGCCCCTCCCGCTACCCCGCACACCCTTTGCACATAGTATGCAACACTGACTGAGCTTTGGGTTAGCTGTTGGTGTGCACGCTATTTATTTCTAGCTTAGCTTAGCCTAGCTTGCTTGGCATAGCTTAGTTTAGCCTTGGCATAGCTTAGTTTTCGGTCTGCAACCGGCTTTACATTATTACACCTTGTATTATGTGTATTTTTTTCTTTCTTCAATAATAACAATCATAAATCGTTTATTTGCAAAGAAAGTGGTACATTCAGATTTATTAATTATTTAAAACAAACCGCACTTAATAATATGCGTGCAAATGTCAAATTAATTATCATAATGTCAAAATAAGAACAGTTATTTATAATTGTTGTCAAAACTTATGGTCTAAATACTCTTCTACGCTAAAAAGGCTTTTTGCCTTAGAAAGTATATTTATTTTCTAATTTAAATTATACGGTTTTAAAATACTGTGTAATCCGTGATTTTCTAATACTATGAGGCTATTTTGGGCAGTGACGTTGTCTCGAATTTCATTTAAAATTTGTCAATATATATTATATTTTTCCACAGGTAAGCGACGTTCGCGGTTGTGGCTACCATTGGGCTACATTGCTGGGTTTGTTACCAGCGCAGGCCATCAACGTATACCTAGGTTCAACGCTACGGTCAATGCATGATGTGCTGCACGAGTCACACGTCACTGGTTACGTGGTCTTTGCATTTCAGGTAAAAATAAATTTTAGATACAGCTAGAGAAAATAGAATTTGCTTTAGTTGTTAAGGGTAGTTTTCTGTCAGAAAACGCCCTTACTAGTAAGACCGCCCATTCGTGTACGGTTACGGTTTTATTAATACCTCTCTTTTGATTCTTGATGCCATTGAATTAAGTTTTACTAATTTCTGGTCAGTGGGTTGATAAATTTATGTGTACAAATACTATTTCACTAATAAATTATAGGCTAAATAGATTTTATATCGAGAATAACAACTCCAATGATTTCGATACCCGCGCCATTGTTTGATACTACGTTGCCGTAGTTCGAAGTAAAACAATATGGGTATTTACGAGTAATAAGCATAAACCAAATTCTATTTTAGTGACGTTATAGTGCACGGCAATTAATAGAAATGTTTTTTTATTAGGGAAGTACGTACGTAACATACTTATCTGCACAAAATGATTATTATTACTTAATTACACTTCGAGTTCATTAAGATAAGTAGTAATTAAATTGATGAAAATTATTGTTCGTGCTATTAAACTCTTCCTTGATTTCTTAATATATTTATATAATATTTTCTTAATATGTTTTATTTTCGTTCGATATTCACAGAATCTATCATTTTTAATAACTTGAAGCATGCTTCAAAGAATATAATATATTTGTGTTTAATTTAACTTTATTTATTTATAAGTAATCTATGTAATAAATTTTTTTTTCTGTTTTGGCCTAGCTAAATGACGTATTATTGTCTATATTATATTTATTTGATTGTGTAACGAGTGCATGACATGTGATAACGTGCCAATGATAAACTAGGCTGAACTGGACAGACTAAATTGTTCCGATTTTATTTAGTTTAAGAGAGCAGTTGGCCTAGATCCTACAGCGTGCGGCTCTAATACCAGAGGTCGTAGATTTGAGCCCGACTGTGCACCAATGGAGTTTCAATATGCGCATTTAACTCTCGATTTTACTGAAAAAAAGTCTTCGTTATTTTAGTATCGTTACAAAAAACAAATACAAAAATCTGAGAAAGAAGCCTGCCGTAAGCACATGAATACCTATTCTATCAAATCGTTGCCGACTATAGATGCAAAATACTCTTTATGAAAAGTTAACACTTCAAGATATATACGAACTGTATGATTCTGCTAATATCTCAAAATTACGCGGTGTTTATAACAAAAGTAATAATATGTCTATTAATAAAGTACATATAATATATATCTTATTAACAGTATAGCTTAATATAAACTGGTGCGAACAACATATTATGGGTGGGTGGGTACCTAAAAAGGAAGTTTGTGATAAAATTGTATAAAGCGTTTTAAATTAATTATAATATAAAAATCTAAAATTAGAAATGTAATATTTTTATGTTTTTATTTTTTCATTACATTTATGTTTATTATAATTGTCATATACTTTAGAATAGATGGCTTGTAACATGTAATGTAGATATAGCATTATGTATGCGGTGAATAAATAAATATATTATTTCGTATTAAAAGTATGTAGTAAAATATTCTATTTTACTGACATTTAATTTTCAATACTATAAATAAACAGAGCAGTGTTGGCCTAGTGGTATTAGCGTGCGTCTCTCATATCGCTGAGGCAGGTCCGATTCCCAGCTGTGCACCAATGGACTTTCTTTCTATGTGCGCATTTAACATTCGCTCGAACGGCAAAGGAAAACATCACGAGGCAACCCGCTTGCCTTAGACCGAGTCGACGGCGTGTGTTAGGCGCAGGCTGATCACCTACTTGCCTATTAGATTAACAAATTATTGTTGTTAAACTAATAGTATGTTTCAATAAACAGTAATCATTTAAATTACTCGATTACATTTAATTAATTGATAAACCATTTGACCAACGCAGGCCTTCAGACATAAGCCGGTGACGCGTTTGTCGATCATAATATTAATGTCACTCACAGGCTGAATTCACAATGTCACCAATTGCTTTAATGATTCTTGAATTGCCTTCATTGACCGCTTTACTAAAGAGAGTCACCTTTTAAATGAAGTAAGTGGCGTTATGTAGAAAACTCTTGGGAATATACATAGTTTTGCCTACTTATGATGGCTGACTGGTGCAGGCTTTTGATTTACGAGGTTATTACCGTTTATCGTCGGGTTATTATTGTATAGTATAAAGACCTACTATTATAATATTTAGGTCAATATTGTACCTAATACAATATTATTATTAACACGCGCCCCACAGAGGGGAAATTTGATTGTTAAGGGGGGGCTATTAAAATTATTTGGAATCTGAATTTCTGTTAGTCGTTATATGTTGAAAATTTACTCAGTGTGTTTCGTTTACAATTGATTCAATCAATTGTGTGATATCATTCTAAAACCTTATCGTTTAAGTTTCTTAGTGATTTTTTTTAATTATTAATCATTAGGTACGTTACATTGGGGACAAGAATTTTGGAAAGACTAAAACGACGAACGAAAATCCAAGCAAGTTCCAATATCATTATGCTAAATAATTTTCTCTTCGCCGGCTTCATAACGGGCATGCGGACTTAAATAGTTTTTTATTATTTTCTGGAAAACGCAAGTCTGTTGTTGTTGATGTATATTTTAGTTGTTCCAAAGTAAGGTCATTTCGACATTAGTATAGCGGATCACGCGGGCCCCAGGTTTATATTTAATACGATATCAATGTCACCGTAACTCGACAACCGACTGTCACGATCTCACGTGTCAGATATATTAATTGGATTAGATGATTGATCAATAGTATTTATGTATGTTTACTTACTATGTTAATAGTACAATATACTAGATGACTGGTATACGTAGTTAAATTTGAGTTTTGTTATAGTGTTTGGATATTTGTTATGAGGCGAATTTAATGATATTACTTACACAAAGTGGAAACACTATTGCTTCTTTCCAATATATTGAAATGTTTTTTTTCATGTGTATTTTTATAGTCAAATTCAATAAAATATATATAAAATTAATTTATTAATTCACCTGTGTTTTTGCGAGTTCTCTTTGCCAGATGTTATGATAATGTTAAAATCAAAATACATATTTTCATATAAATACGTTACCTATATGTATAGTTGTGTTTTTAAATTATTCATATAGGTATCGCACTGTACCTATACTTATGAACGTAAGTAAAAAAAAATAATGATTTTAAATTTATATTTACTGCCAATTCTCAAATCAAGGGCGTCGAACTTGAAGAACTCCGTCCCTTATAAATTGATGTTAAAATAATTACCCCCTTAAATGTAAAATCTCTCGAGAAAAGTATACCTATGATGGATGGTTATCTGCAAAGATCTATGAAACAGCTATATATGTGTTACCATTGTTCAGTTACGGGGCTTGTACTTGGTTATTGCTTCAAAAGAGATTTACCTTCAACAGTTTTTAAGTTGTTTATCAGTTGAACATGTACGTAATTTTAAAAATATTTGAACAGATAAGAAACCCGCTAATTATATGACTTTCAGGGCTTTCGTTGCAAATTGCAAAATTTTATTAACGAGTCTATTACAAACGAGTTTTATTAATAACGGCGGAACGTGAATTTGTGAATTTGCTCTGGGCTATTACGGGGAAGTCCCCCGTACAGGCACATGCTATAAATACACTGACCGAAAACAAGCGACGGGGAATTCCCCGTTCCGTTCGTTAGAAGCGCATCGATTTTTTAAGTTTCATATATTTTTTATTCAAAGTAGGGCTGCAGCCCAAAAAGCCCTTAAGTAGATCCACCCCTTGTCTCCAAGGGATAGCTACCTTTTATACATATACTATTATATATATATCATTTATGTTATCATACTGTTGTCCCTGTGGAATAATTATTTTGTTTGTTAATCCTAAACGATTACCCTTTCAGATCCTAATTGGAATCACATTAATGGTGTGGGTGGTGCAGAAGGCTCGCAAGGAGCTAACGATAGCCATAATGGCGGCTGAGCTTGGGCGTGACTCCCTATCAACAAGCAGTTCATCCAGCTAGCCCACGGCCCACACCTCAGGGCCGGAGAGCGCCGGTAGTAGCTAGGAGTGCGCCCCCGGGTGCTTGGCCCCGGGAGACACTTACGTGTGAACTGTGATATTATGCTTATGTAAGTCAGTGGTATTGGGATCTCTTTGTGGCGGTTACAAATTATCGTAAAGGTATTAAAATTTTGACAATTGTAAATATTTAAATTTGTAATTGTAAGATTCTGTCTTTGTCTATCGAATTTGTCTCACGGGTAATATTGTGGAAGTTTCACAATACTGTAAAATAAGTAGTGTATTAAAATACATGTTCTATTATAAAGATACCACGGGCTGGAAGTTAGACACAGTCTTTAATGAGTCAGCATTTTCGCCAATCTTAATATCAGGCATATGTGATATCTACGAAGAAATGTTTTCGCAATAAATCTAAATGATATTTTATTAAACTGTATTATATTGTGCTAACCTCGGTGTTGCCCTTTATTGACATTTGCTCAGATACAGTCAGTGTCGCTATTAGTATTTATGGAATGTCTCGCGTAGAAAGTTTGATACTTGCTAGGTCATTATATCGTGCTAGAGTTTTGTCTTGTTCTGATATGAATATGTTACATTTTGTATGATCCAAGTACGCTTTGGTTGTATTCTAAATATTAATGTAAAAAATCCAATTTAGAACTTCGCACTTTATCGTCATACAATTCCTAGTTCCGTTTTAATTTCAAATAAAATTGCGTCACCAAACTATTGAATGATTGTGGTTTATCGTCGTTGCTAGGTATGGTAATATTGCATACATAACATAGGCTATAGAATATTATCAAAGAAGTTTGGGATTCGTATGAAAACTTCGATAATATCACGGTGTGAAAAAACGACCTCATGTACGCTGTGGAAACTATTGACAATAGAGCAAAGTGATATACTACAGTTTTAAAGAGAACATCTATGAAACAATGTGCAAGTCATGTCTATTTCATATTTATTAAAATAAATATTCAGCCCTCCGAAGCCGGAAAATTTGGTAGAAATGTTTCTAGGCTATCATAATTCTCGACTGTTAACAATCTAAGTGTGTTCGTAGAATTAAATGCTTTTGGTAAAGGTTAGGTATACGTTCGCTGATTTGACCTCAACACGCGTATACAACATCGTAAACCCTGACGCATGGGATACTTGGATCGATTTCGTGTCAGAGCCTAAATTATAACTAAATTTGTTTTTCGCATTGTGAGGACTCGACTACCATTACGTCTAACATAGCGGAAATTCTATGCCAATTATACTGCTGTAGAAAAATACTCACGCGCTTTTTGGCACTTTTGTTTGAGATGGTAATTGCCCGAAGCAATATCCAAGTGTGTCGCATGCATGGCCTCTTAGGTAGGCCTTTAAGCTTTAGGTTCTTTGATATTTTTTTCTCTTAAAATTGTTCTGTTTTTCAGATCCAAAGAATATAGTGTATATCTATACTAATATTATAAAGAGGAAAGATTTGTATGTTTGTAACGAATTGGCTAAAAAAGTACTGGACCGATTTAAACAATTCTTTCACCATTTGAATGCTACATTATCACTGATTAATATATGGTATTTTAATTGCAAGAAAAAATAAAGATCCCTTCAAAATTACGATAATGTAACCCAAGGTGTATAAAATGCCTATAAAATATCCTTGATGATAGGAAACGATTGATGATAGAACAAAAAGATGTACATTGTTAATAAATGTCCACCCGTGCGAAGCCGGGACGGGCCGCTAGTATGATATATTTTACGTTCTTTGTTCCAGGACGATAACAATCATAAAATGTTCATGTTAATCTTGTTATTATGATCGCGAAGTCATAATTTAGCAAACACATTTCTCCCTTATCAAAGCACGCGAGCTAGGCATTCGTTAATTTATAAACATTTTACGATTTCACTGATGTAATAATTTTTGTCACGAGAATTCATTGAAGCATAAACAACTATGCCGTGATTTTATTGAATAAATTTGTCAATGATTTGTCCTAGAATGGATGAAGTACCTACGTATTATGGTTAATAAATTGTATATATTTTGTAGGTGTGATGAACTTGTTCAGTTCTAAACAAAATTCTATCAACAGCCTTAATTATCTATTTCACGGTACTGTTAAGAAGAAGTCACGGTACTGTTACTGAAGAGTGTGTACTCCACTCCACTGATGTAATAATTGCTACGGTAGAATTTTATAGTAGGCCACTTTGTAACGTTCTTATCTATAAATAATATTTACGATTGGTGTTTTTGATCTAAAACTTCGCCCGGTAGAAAAGGTAATCTTGGTTAACATTTAAAATGTATGCCCTTATGCTTATACGAGTTAAACCAAACAGTATAAACCTATGGTTGATATTTTACATTGTAACCTTTAGTAAAGTCATGACATTTAAAACCTTCAAGTGCCAGAGTTGGAGTAAATCAGTGGTCTCAAGAAAACTAGGCCTGTTTTTTTAAATCTGTATCATAAACTAACAAACCTTGTAACTTGTTAAGAATTCCCTATTTATCTGTTTTTGAATCAGTTACGATAGCAAGTGGGTCAAATCAAATCCTTGGTGTCTCCGGGTAGACGCAAAGAGTGAACCGCGACTGACGAACTCAGTTTAAAATTCATCCAAGGTCTGGATTTATCCAAGAATCAACAGCTTGTAGTTTTTGAATTAGAGCTTTGTCATTGAGGCCTAGAGCTCTAGAATTTTATTCTGATTTATACCGAATCCGTCTCTGCATAGTTAATTTTAATCCGTGATGTAGTTAGTAAATTCTGATAAAAAAATTCCGCGAGTTGTTTGTTTAAATATTTTTCTCTTTTTATATGATTTGGAGTTGATCCAAATCGCATACTGCGACACAAGATAAATAGGATGATGCGTAAGAAAATTATTTACTAACCACGGTCAGACGTAGTTAAATTCGATATTATTTCAATGTCTTATAACTTTTGATAGCGCTGGTGAATATTGGCGTAACTAAGGTTATTTCCTAGGAAATTTTCGTGTTAGGCGTAGAATTTCGTTCTGGTTAGACTGGAAGTTCCAATATCTAAAATAGCTATACAGTCAAAACCGTTTACGACGACATCGTTTAGAACAACATACCGGTTATATTGACTAAAATCAAAGGTCCCGGCTGAATTCTATTGTATTAGGTACTTAATAACAACGACAACGGCTGTTACGACTATCGGTTTTTACGATCAAATATGAGACCAAAAATTTCCATATACTTCTCTCAATAGCCTTAGAAACCTTGAGATCGTACGACACGAAAATTTACATCGAAGCGGGTTCCCATTTGCAATCGGGAGTTACAGAGTACCAGCGCTGGGGTGGTTACGGCGCGTTCGTTAGACCTCGTGAAAATTGCACGTCAGAACCGATAAAAAACTTCGAAGTTATAAGTACTTTGTTGTCTTATCCACTTAAAACAGTTGTAGACAACTTTACACAAGTAAACTATTTTTACTCATTTGTTTATCAACGAAAATAACGACGCTTAAAAATAACATTATAGTAATTGTGAAACACAGATACGAATATCATAAGTATCGGAGCAATCACCTATACATTATCATCGTGTTGAGTGCGCGGGCCAATATTTACGCGCCTTATCACAGATTATCAACAAAGCTAATTGTTCCACGAAGGTCGTATATCGAAATTGCAATACTTTTTCTAATGTTTTTGATTCTCGTTACATTAATTTATTTTTGAAAAATTACAAAAAATATATATCAAATGCGTTTCTAATTTGTTAAGATTTATTTATTTACTTACTATTTAAAAAATAATATTTAAGATGGTAGGGAAAGCTAATTTGTTCGTAACTTGACCGTAAAGCTAATAATAATCAAGTTAATTGTATAATACTTATTCTATTTGAAATTCCTGTTTTTACAGAATCTTTTGCTAAAAAAATGCAATGGTTTTGTGACGCAATATCATCTAAGAACAGCTTTTTTGTGCTAATTTAAATTTGAATATATAATCACTGCCTTAATTAAGTATCTGCGTTTAAACTTAATCGAAAGTTATCGTTTTAATTATTTTAAGTTTACAAAATTTATTATATTGACACGTTCTAGACGAGAGAGTTAATATCACGACGTTAATTTCAATATTATTTTTAATCGGTATACAGAAATTATGAGGACCACTAGTGTACATTGTCAGTGATTGTCACAGGAGTACGTTTGGAAATTAACAACTTTTATAGTCTAAATTAATCTGTGATTAATCCTCTTTTGTTTATTACTCAAACACCTTTGAGATCACTCTTTATTAATGCTTGTCACATTAGGATTATGTCTACTCTCAAGTTAGTTATTAATTATCCTGTATTCTTATTGCTAATGAGAATAGTCTGTTTGGTGACATCTAATGTAACTAATGTGCAAATATATATTTAAGTATCTGTATAAATATTTAAACAAATATAAAACCTCAGGTATTTTCATAGATACATAATTAAGAATATCTTGTAATTAATGTTCAGTGCAATATTTTATTGAATAAAATTGTATTGTAAAAAAATACCTAGTCTGTGGTTACAACTGAATGTATTTCCCAAACTTAAGTGATGTTGATTGAAGTCAATGGCCCTAAAATATGTATTTTGAGATTTAAAAATTATTTAGGTTCTTCCTTTGTATTTCTAAGACTGATAATTTATTTTGGGTTCCGCGCTACCAAGATAGTTCTTATCATTTAAAATAACACACATATTTGTGAATATTGTGGAACTCGTACAAAACTATTGATTTTAAATTTATTTCCTATTATTTTGAGCTTCCTTTTATTAGACCAAATTTATCTATATGTATTTAAGTTTTCCTGAGATAAAAGTCTGCTGTATACATTTGTAGACATCGACGCGTGCCATATGAAAATATAAAAAATCGTTTAATTATAAAATATAAAAATAGTAATTTATCTTTGGTAAAATATTTAGTAATTGGTGCCAAAATTTGTTCTGGGTGGTGTTGAAAATGCGTTCATCGTTTTAAAACTCTTGTTGTTTATTTTATGGGGCATCCACACGCTGGCTGTTTGTCACAAACACCGCAAAAGCAAACGAAGTCCCAAACACCAACCACAATCACCCAACACAAACAGCCATCCACATGCTTGGCGAACGTTCATAACATTCCGAATCGGCAAACATGCGGACGACGAGCTTGTTGCCTATTACTTTCGGTTGACATATTTTTATTATAAATTAAAGCAAGAGAAAGAAAAAAAGAAGAAAGCAAAGACGATGGTGGATGATTAAAATACATAGAAAGCGTACAAGGCTTTAGACCTATTATTTGAGCTTTACTTTGCCGTGTTTTTTTTAATTTTACTTAAAAGTTACTTAAAAATGTCAGAATCGTAGGTGCTCCAATCGAAATTTTTACGCTTTGCGCGCCAACGAAAGTGTAGCAAGTAAATACGTCCGCCTCCCGCAAGCTCGCGCGCATACTGATCGCTGCCAAACGTGTGGATACGTAGCAAACTGTTTGCCAAACATCCTTTGATCTGGCAAGATAAACCGACACCGATGCCGAACACTGCTTATCCAACACATACACAAACAGGCAAACAACGACAAACACCCATCCACACGTCCGTGTTTGCTGTTTGCTGTTTTAGCTGCGTTGCCATTGTTTGTCAAGCGTGTGGATGGGCTTTGAAATGGTGTCCTGCTTTCTGCACACATGTTCTGCTTAGATCGTATCTGATTATTGAATTAAAACATATTGTGAACAGTCTTGCAGTATTCTAATACATATTTGGTACTAAAATATTTTCATATTACTTATAAATATTGCATGTATTATGGTATAGATAAAATCTAAGCGATATGTAATAATATAAGAAAAGTGATGCTTGTAAAGCTAAAGAAATATGCTCACTCTTTTATGGATGTATTCTATATTTTGTATTAATACTTTAACTGTAGAATTATATGTGCATTTATATTGTAAACGAATTTATTTTGTGTTTAAAGTACCCATTGTTATGTTCTTAATCCTACTATGTTAATTAAAATAATAAATTGATGTTATTATTTGACGATGTATTTTTTTTTCCAAGATCAGTTGTATCATTCATCGAATATTTTTTTCCTGAATTAGCCACAGTTATAGTCTGTGATACCAAAGAAATTTAAATAGAACACATTTCTGTGTAGGAAATTTAATAATAAATGCGGGAAACTTGTAATACTATTATAATTACTATACACCCTAAAATAACCATATAAAAACACGCTAAATTATTGTTTTTTATTAAAGCTAGAAGAAGATGGTTAATTGAACTCGGTGCGTGAATATTTACCATTCTCAGGCCAAGTTTAAATCGTTTTGTTTTTTTTTTTATTTGATGCTCATGTGACGTCACGAGATCCCTACCGCCCGCGCTCTTGCTCTCCGCCATTCATTTATTAAAGTTTACTCGATCTGCGCGGGTCGTGTTGTGGTTTTGTGGTTTTTATGTGAAAATATGCCGCATTATAAGTACTGTATAGTACCGAAATGTACTAATACTTCAACTAGTACACCTGAAAAACTGTTTTTTAATGTGCCAAGGGACCTGAAAGTGCGCAAAAAATGGTGTACTGTCATGAAAAGGGATGACAAAGTTCCGCTTTCCTGCCACACTGTAAGATATTGTTGCGAGGATCATTTTGATGTAAGTAGCTCCATATACCAACTATTATCATCATTACTCATGTGGTAAACAGTCACTTAGTAAAAATGACCTCAATAATTGATTGTTTCGAGGTGAAAATTCAAAAACCAAGTAATGCCACACACCAGGCATTAACTTGGTCGCAATACAAAAATTGCAACACCATTAAATTTCTGATTTCCATTACACCTGATGGAATGATTAATTTTATTTCTGAGGGGTATGGAGGGCGGACCCCAGATTCCACGATCTTTAAAGACTGTGGGTTTCTAGATGAACTCACACCTGGGAGTTTGGTTTTGGCGGACAGAGGATTCAAAAATATAGCCCATTTATTAGAACAAAAACAGTGTAAGCTTTTAAGACCACCTAGTCTGAGTTCAATCTCAAAACCCAAAAAAGAGGAAGTGTTGCAAACAAAGAAGATTACTGCGTTAAGGGTACATGTTGAAAGAGGCATTGGAAGATTAAGAGACTTTCAAATGGTTGGACCTCATGCAACTGTCAACATTTCTTATATTCAACTATTGGATGATATAGTGGCAATAGCCTGTGGTATTGTCAATTTGCAGGACTGTTTATTTAAAAGTATATCTGAAAAGTAAATAAAAAACATTAAACATTATTGTGTAGTTTAAATGATTACTAAGATAATCAAATACCATGAAGGTATCAACTTTAGGTAGATTATCGGGTTGCGCTTGCTCAAAACCGATATCTACCTTATTTCTACCACTCATTTGTTATATTATAATAACAACCTTCTAATATTAAACAAATCAAATCACTTATTAATCGATTGGGTATAAACCGGTGACGTTACGCTCCATGTTGGACGAGTATCGCGAACAGAATAAACAGCGCGGGGCGCGCTGTGGTTCGGCGGCAAGCGTTGAGATCTTGTGACGTCATCGCTTGCATTCGCATTTCGCGCGGTCAGTAAACCTTGTTCGGTATTTTGCCCATAACTTTGTCAGCTTTGGTCGTAGAACAAAATTTTTTGCACTTTATGTTTTAGTTTCTCAAGGACTATAAAACGGCATTTATAACATAAAACTGTTACGGGTCCCCATTGTGATTTAAACAGAAATCGACTGTTGTTGCTGTAATTCATTATACGTTAAAGAAAATTTATGATCAGAAACGACGGTATAATTTTAATCACTTTTAAATTAATTTGGCATACATGTAATAATACTCTGTGGTATTTTTGTAGTATTTCAATGTCAAAGTGTCAATAGTCTATTGACATTTTAATAAAATATTAAATCTAAATGGCAAATTGTCATTTTAGTTATAATGGCGGAAGACGATGATGGTGTTTCGGATAAAAAATCATCTCAAAATTCAAATAATGCAGGCTATCCTGAAGAGAATCAGCAAAATTCAACAAAGCCTGATCTAGGTATAGAAGAAGCTAAGTATGACAGCAAAGAAAATGGTCATACTTCAGCAACAGAGCCTACTAGCTCGACGTCAAGTAAGTGTTTTGGGATGTTGTTTTTTGTTACTCTATATTTACTAAGCATTCCTAAGTGAGTCTGATTTATTTTTGCAGAGTCAACGGGAACAATGCGTAAAGATGATAATCCTTTTTCATTTCGACATTTCCTGAAGCGCGACTTATCCTTACCAGGGAATTCTACGTACGAGAACACCGGTGCTAGGCCAAAGGTTTACGCGAATACAGTGCAGCATTCTCCTACGAGAATAGATAAATTGGATATTCATAATGAATCGAGGCGGGAGAAAAATCGTTTCAACGATATCAAAGCCAAAGAAAATAAAACTGACAGTGTTTTACATCGCAATAGTGACGATGCTTCATCAAGTAGTTCAGTAGAAATTCCTTTTAGTGTAGTCGAAGAATCTGAATCTAAGCATAACTTCTATGCAGATCATACGGATGTACCATTTTTCCACCGGCCAAACCTGGCATCAGAGCCTCTAGGCATGCCTTCTCTTCCTGACTTTGTTCAAGACCATATTTTGGTGGAACAGGCTTATTTAAATTCAAACGGTCCTATATCAGTAGATCTCGATAATTTACCCGATTTTACATACACTAATTCTAATTATAGTGCTGGTTCCTCATCTTCTCTAGGTAGAAGAAATAAGAATAGTTATGGTAACAGAAATTACGACTATGACTCTTATTTGGGTGCTCCATCAACCTCTGCTGATCCAGCAATACGGAATGTTCCATTGGATCTCCCTGGAGGGGCTGAGGCAGCTCCTCCATTAGACCTAGTGCACCTTAACTTGGATTTAACTGAGTCAGTTAATCCAGCAGACAGAAGAAATGTCTCGCCAAGAAACAACTTTCCTCTTGATCTCCCTCCTAATGCTGGTGAGTCATTTAATTTGTAATATGCTTTACTAATCAGTTGACAAATTGACAAGATGTGTAGTTGAAGGTGCTATGTTTCTGGTGATTTAATAGCATGTTTTGGGTTAGGAGGCACAAAAATATAACCACATATTTCAGACAAATTAAGTAATAAATACATAAATTTTATATATTTATCATTTTAAGGCTAGAACAAGGAAAAGTCTGATAAATATTTGTTTTTTTTTTTATTTATTAGCTTATAAAAGGGTACTTCCTTATATTATCATCACGATAAATTCTAAACTAAATAGAAATGTAAATTTATAATATAAGCAATAACAAAGAACAACTTATATAACTGTAATTGTCCAATTTGACCTTATACTGTGATTTGCAATTTTAATTTAATCTATGTGTATTGTTTGTTAACAATGACAATAACAAAATCTATCCTAACTACTTAAAATTAATATTTAAGAAAATTGTGGAGTTTATAAAATTTATACATGATTATGGTCCTTTTTATTATATGAAGAGGAGCTTTCTATCACTTGCTATGTTACTTTTAGGCTTAATGCCTCTCTGGTAGTAGTTCTAGCATAGGTTGAAGTCCCCATCTGCACATAATCTAACTATGCTCTTTCTAAAAACACAAAGGCCAAAATCACACTATTAAAAAAAAAATTGGTTAGGTTAATTTTATTTTTTGATTTATTAGGTTATTTTTTTCGTAAAATGGTTATTATAAGTGTAATTAAAGGTAATATTATTTATTTTGTAACTACAGGAGCTGATTCAATGCGGTTGCCAGATTTCTTACCAATACACCCTGGCAGAACATCACCTGAACCTCAACCACAGAACGATCAGTTGCAGCATATTGTTGAGTTAGAAAGGACCAGGTTAGTATAAATGACATATGTATAGGTTTTTTTAAATTAACTTATACAGTAGAACCTCGATAAGATAAAGTCCAAGGGAAACACAAAATATTTTATGTTACGAGTTTGAACTTATAAGGTCCTTGTCAGGTACAGGCTAATATAGAGGTATGTACATGTTCCTATATAATTCCTATCCTCCCATTTTTACTTGTAATGCTTCTGAAGGATGGAAAATTAAATATTTAATCTATTGTATAGAACTTACATTTACATACTAAAATAAGATAACAACAAAGGTTTAGCTACTTAAAAATTACTGTCGATTTGCTTTTGTTTGAAAACGGAAACAGTTCACTGTTTATAATCGATTTGATTTTCAATGACAAATAGAGAGGAGAAACATTAAGACTATTAAGGTTACGAGTTGCAAGTAAGCGTTGTCACAAGGCTAACCGCCGCAAAGCTTTGAAGAATTTAGATAAAGCAAACATAGGTACATGCCTATTGTTTACGTTAACAATATATTAGTAAACACGTGCAAGCAATAAATACCGAAACCATTTGTTTTGACACTCTTATAAAATGACTATTCACAAACAATTTAATGTGGTAGAGGTTGTGTAAACATTTCTTTTAGTTACTGAGGGCCTATACATAGCATTATTTATCTGTACGTTATAGAGGTTGCGTATTTTGAGGTTAAGAGGTTTTGGGCTCAAATGGTAAGGAAAATAGTATTTTTGAAGTAACAGAGGCTTTTATGTTACCGAGGTTGTACGAAAATCAGAGTGTTCTACTAAATGTACTATTGAATTAAAATCATAGCAAATTAATATATTTAAACAGTTGAACTTGAATAATTTTTATCACTATACGCAGTGCGGTATCACCCATATAATTTTCTTTATTACTTTTACGATTGTAAGCTTGTGCATCCATTAGTATAGTTTACATTTAAATACTAAACTAGTTAAACAGAGTTTCGAAAATACAATCCCATTATGGAACGAACAGACGTCTAGAGCTGAAAAGACCTGAACTTGGGAGAGAAGCTCTTAGACTATTAAGGTCCGAGTTGTGCAGCCAGGGCTTATGGAAGCGGTTTTAAGAGAACAGCTGAGCGAAGCTAGACATGCCATGAAATTATTTGGCAAATGAGGCTACTACACATCGATTGTCATATTTGATGGATACTGCTGTTAGTAATAATGTGGTGTTAACAGCACTTAGTAACGGTTCTATACATTGCACTTTATGTGACGAATAGCGCTATTTGACAGTCGTGAAACGCAACAATAGTGTTTATCCTACCAATAAGTAATAAATAGCTAATTTGGAACTTATGTAGAACTTATCCGTACATTGTGAAACAGACCCTTAATGTCACATATAGTATACAGCTTCAGTGAAACAGTTTTTTAATTAGACATTGTATTTGACAGATGGGATGAGTTTTATCTGGTCAATCTCGTCTCTGGAAATTAGTTAGGTATTTTGCTTGATCTAATACTAATTTGAATTTAATTTCAGAGTCGAGCCACTGAAGGAGAATCAATGATTACCAAATTGAAGAATGAAATCAAAAGACTAAAGGTGGGTGACATAAGTATCCCAGTAGACATAGTGATATATAGTATATAAAAGACCAGAATTTTTATATAAAGATTTAAAATAAATTAAACATCTTATTGTAAATCTAAACCATTCTAAATACACTTATGCAAGTGCATACCAAAAAATTTATCAATATTGGACCAGCCGTTTAGAAGGTGTTTAACAAATCGAAATTTATACACATTAAGATTTACGTGAATGTCATTTAAAAGATTTAAAAAAGTTAAAAGTTTATTTTTATCCCCTTTGACAACTTAAACTATGAATGATTTAAAATCACATTTAAAACATTCATCCATTCCATCGGGTGTATCCAAATTGTTTTGAGTTCATCAGGAGTTGATTTCGCCATTTTTATATTACAGGAGGAATTATCTTCGTCCCAAGAAGAGGTCCGTTCCCTCCGCAATGTTCAAAGCAACGCGGCCGTCGACCTGAGGCATGCTACCACCGTCGCTGAGACATCACTACGGTAACTAAAATTTATTTACTAAAAATGTAATAATTTAAAACATTATTATTGACAAAAATCAAGATGTTGATGATATATTTACATTATGTCGGGTTATAGACAAGAGTCAAATTCCATAAACAACCGAACTGTCAATAAGCACCTACCACAGAATACAATAGCAAATTCAAACATACAGATTACAGGTGTTTTATATAGAAATGTAAAATATTAAATGCAATGTAAGAAAGGATTAAATAAGAGATTGTAAGTGAAAATATAAATAATCACGCAATCGCAATGTATCAAACATGCCGTGAGCTCTCTATGGAGACACGCCATAATGCGCCGGAGCTTTGACCGAGAGTTGGTTCAGGACCGGCACCTTTGAGAGCGTTCAAGTATTACGTTACGATTTTTTTGGGGGGTTTCCTTTTGTAAAACGGTACGATACGGGGCGGGGATTTAATTTACGCGGTATTGTTAATTTTGTATTTTTCGACTTTCCTACTTTACACCACATAATGGTAACTTTTAGGTATAAAGAATCACTAGGTGGTCACGAAACGTTTTACCAATACGGGAACAGAGAAAAGCGTCGCGGCGCTTTAAGGGGGGGTGTTAATAATCTCCGAAAATGGCGTGCCGCAATGCTTTGAAACCCTCACAATATTTTTTTTTTTTTTTTTTTTTTTTGAACTGCAGGCAATCATAATACATTTGTGTACAACAATTACTAACACAACTTGTAGCATATAAATATACAAGCTTTTATGACTTTAAAAATTGCTTTAAAAAAATATTACGGCGCGTTACATGGGTGGGTCCCAAAGCTGATGTCACATTATTCTAAAATTTCGAACAGTTTATAAAAAAATTTGTTTATATTTTTGAATGTTTGACTATGTTTTAAAACAATAGACAATCACTTTCCTAATTTTTTTATGGAGTGGACATTGAAAGAAACCCAAATTCTGTTTTTGCGTTTCCCCCCCCCCCAACCTGCTCTAGAATAATTTTCAGTTGCTAATTTGTATAACGCTTAGTTTGTGTACGTCTATTGATAGGTCAATAAGTTCTTGAGGAAGAAAGAAGGCCGGCCAGATCCGCAAGAACACCAGCGTCAAATGTGAAGGCGCATAGCAAGAGGAAAACAGAAATTGATCTTCAGATGGGTATTAATAGGAAAATAGTAAAAAGGTTTTAAATGAAGATCTTGGTCTACTGCAGCATACAAAAATACAAGCTTTTATGAACGCTCGTCTAAAAGAAAATTGGTTTTGTGTTGTTGGTGGTGGTAAAGAACCCCCCCCCCCGCACTCTTACGGACGAAAAAATTTTTATATTGAAGAGAGGTACAATAAACAAATGATAGTGTACGCGAGTTCTGAAGAAGCTGGAAATAAAGTCCAGGGGTGCAACATGGAATCTTCCATCATCAGTAATGGTATGATTGGAAGTGTCCTATTACGGGCCAACTGGGGGGTTCATTTATGCAAAAGGGGGTCAAAACCAGTGCAAGTACAAGAGACGGTTTTGGATCGGCTTGTCAAAAACCCCCCCACCCCGCTATTTGCGGGACATCACAGCGCGTCCCAGCAGGCCCCTGCGCCTCACCCCCGCGGGAGCACCCCCAAACCCCCCCCCCCCCCCCCCCCCCCCCAACCCACTGACTGGTTTGAGCGTCAAAACATTGAAATTAGAATGAGGATGGCCCCTCCAGTCCGACCTTAATCATTTGAAAAATAAAAATTGGGGGGGTTTAGAGAGGAAGGGTTTTTGTCCCCCCCAAAAAAAAAAAAGGGGTGGGGGGTCCTCTATAAAAAACCCCCCCCCTAAAATCGTATGAAAGGTGCGTCTGCATAGCGACTGGCCGGTAATGGGATCATTTCGAATAATTTATTGCTATTTCTTTCCTTAATTAATGTACTATAAATTGTATATCACTCATTAGAAACTGTATACTTTTGTTTTTATCATTATTTCCATTTATGACAGAACTTTGGGACCGACTACTAATTTAAAAATTGATACAGAAGACTTGCAAAATATCCATTAAATATTTATATGACTTTAGCGAATAATAATGTTTGAATATTAATTTCAGGGAATTATTATCTGGATTGGAGCGACTTCGTTCGCTCAGTTCCACTTTGGACCCGACTTGATATTGAACTACTGAGTTATGAAATAAGTAGACTATGTCAGCTTTGAGCAGATTCGATGTTTTTACTGATAATTGTATAACCTGAACTTAATTGCAGTTCTTTTGAATTTTCTAAGATATTATATTACTATATTTCGTGAGGAAAGAGACCGCTCTTTCCTTAGAAAAAAAATTGTGCATTATATATAAAAATCTAATATTATGAACTCTGCCCTTTGCCCCATATCTCCATGGGAAATGGAACCATAAGATAACCGACCAGGAAAGTGTTATCATTTCAACCTGCATATATTGATGTTGGGTTTGGATAACACTTGAGTATAATCTATTATAGGATTCAAAGTATCTAAATGTCGTATATCTTTGTATGTTTGTCCACAAATTTCTCGGAAACTAAGTCAATACGAGACGGTCCGTTTTTATTTGTTTATTCCAACTAAGGGATCAGTCCAATTGGATATCGAATTCTCTTCGCAAGTTTTTTAAATACATTTTCATGTATAACAGGTAAATATGTTGACTATTTCAAGTTGGTTAATATTTAACTAATAAAATAACTGCCCGTTACATTCATCCTAAGGTGAACTTTTACGGTATATTTTTGGTCGTAAAAATATCGAATCTGTAAATATAAATAGTTTTATCGTTTTGGCTGCTAATCATATGATTTTAACATATATTTGCTAGTAAAAGTTATTAGTATTTTCGCATAATAATTATGTTTAGTAAATTTATATTTATGTCTAAACTGCTGAACCGTTGAAGGATATATCAGGTGAAATATCTCTAAATGAAACAAAAAATATGTTAAATTGTTTTTTTAGGCTTTTATCGTTTTATATGTAAAAATTCTTATACAACTGGTTCAATGGAAATTGCACTTTAACCATCAAATAACTTTTTTTTTGTTAGAACTAACTATAAATCACTTAGTGTCATCAGACATGTATTGTACAGACAGTATATATGTGTATTTTATAGTTCTATATTAATTCGTTTATGTTAAGTTTAAATAAAATAAAACTATGTTTTAACCGTTTCAATGTTATCTATAATGATTTTTGGTATAGATTAGAAAATATAGAGAAATCGCTTAACCAATACTCAAATTTAATAAAATTCTAAAAAGTTGTCAAATAATCTTTTCAATAGCCGCGTCCACACCGAACGGTCCATCGCGCGCGGCATGAGCGTGATCCAAATGTGCAGGCGGTGTGGACGTGCGGGGAGCGCGCGCTCCATACCGCGTGCGATCCATTTGTTGTCGGTTTTTTGAGCACGCTCAAAGGGGCCTTAGTCACTTGGCGCGCGCGGTGTGAATGTGATTTGAATCGCGTGATCCAACGTTATGGATAATTCACGGACATTCACATTCAACGTTGGATACGTTATGGATAATTAGCTATGTATTCTTTTAATATCCCTTTATAGGCACAATAAATGTTTATGGGATCCTAATGATATTACACAAATAGTAGGCAAACTACCGACTACTTTGCTTACTATTTGTGATGAACAAAATTAAAATTTATCTGCAGACAAAGTTCAACTGATTCAGTATAGATCCGCTGGAGCGTGTTGGATCAGCAAGTCAGGATCGCAAAAGATTGCTGTTGGATCGGCCTAGTACGATCCACGCATCGCGATCTTGGATCGCGGGATTGCCGATCCATTCTGGATCTTTCGGTGTGAACGTGGCTAATGACATTTGACTTAATCGATATATTGTTTTGAGATATATGAGACTGGCTACCCTGGCTATGCACCAATGGATTTTTTAAGTAATAATACTTAGTCATGGAAAACGTGAGGACATATGACAGGCACAGGAGGCCTTGCCTTTAAAAATGGACAGCAAATGTATAAAGTATAGGATATATTTGAAAATCATTTATTAAAGTGCAATTTCTTTAAAACCTTTTCATTATTCGGTGTAAGCATTATATCGGCTTAGGGTAAAGACGAAATTGGAATAAAGAAATGGTAATCGAAATAATACTCAAATTGTATTATTATGGACTGTATATAAATAACTTCGATGATGTATTTTTTAAACAGTTGTTTAGTAACTATCATTCAGAATTCAGAAAAAATCAAATTATTATATTTATTGTTTATCAGAATTTCAATTCAGAATTAAATACATTATTATTTTAGTTCATGGTTGAACTGTATTCTGTAGATTTATTTTCAATAAAACGAATAACAAAACAACGCTCTTCAATGAATTTTAGTCTCTTTCCAAAGGTCTTTTGCCGTTACGATATTTATTTGATTTGATATCGATTTCGCGGCAGGCTTATGTATATACGAAAAAAAACGTTTAGTTAGAATTCATTTTTAAATAAATAATTTATTTCAGAACATAGTTCAAACATAAATTGTGTGGAAAATTGTTTGATCAATAAATGATATCGTATTTACGTATACGAAAACATAAAACTATAAATTCGTTCTAAATATGCTAACGTATACAATTGTATGATAATGACGTAAGCCTACGCTTGGTCACGTGATCGCCTGTCGCGAAGTATGATTGTCTAGTGTAAGATTCAAAGTCGAGAATTAGTGATGAGTACAACTGGCATATGTCAAATCCAATATGTTTATGATATACCAAAGTAATACTTAGCACTAATCCTTCTCTGAATCTTACCCTAAGACCCTAGTAGAAACAAAACATCACATGAGAAACTAAATCGAGTTTATAGTTTCAATTAATGTGCTGGTTACATTGTTAGTATTCTTTTCTGATTGAAACCACGGTTTATTTAGTTACCGATGTCAACTTTTATTTATTTACATTATTGTAAATGTGTTAGAATAAATCTATGGGAGACTAGTACTTAGTACTTAGGTAAGTTGTCTAACACTTACTATTTATGTGTATTCGGTATAAATAATCCGCAATAGGACTGATTTTAGTATCGCAGTCGGCGTTATTCAAACCGCCATAAAAATATAGAAAAACGGCGGGATTAGTTGCTTGTCAATTGTATTAGCTTTGACAATTACTATGTCAGAAACATTGGATTTGACATACGAGTCATATTAGGGAGATGTCTGGACTATCCTACCATTTAGCTTCATCTGGGCTGACAATCAGCGATACTAAAAACAGCTTAGAGCTACTTGATATGATATTAATGCATATTATACAATGTGGTTTGTTACCCTGGTAACGATGTTTTCCTATATAATAATGGTTGCCATGGTAATAAACAAAGTAATTTAGTATACGTTTTACCTCTGTATAGTAAATATATTTGCGAGTCGAAATCAAAATAGACCTATACCATACCATTCAAAATTATGTGTATTTCTACATGTTTATTATGGATTTAGGTATAGTAGTTTTGTTGCAAATTTTTTTTACAGCGTATTAAAGTTAAGAATTGACTGCTTAAATTTGACTCGAATAAGGTTCAAAATAATTGTATGGGATGAAATGTAATCAATACACGAAAAACTAATCAAGGATAATTTTACATAAACCGTAAAAAGAATCACAAAGTATTTAGTTTTAATTTTGATCATGGGTTGAAATGTCATAAACAGACTGTAACTTGTCAAAACAAATTTCCAAAAGATGCTTAAAATTAATGTATCGTTTTAGAGGCTTTGTTTATATGAGCATAAAAATAATGATCTTATAAAAACTCATTTAAAATAATTCAATACCTATTAAACATTGAGATTCTTATAACCTCAAAATACTTACAGTCATTTTAATATTATCGCAACGTGTATTTTTTTATATATTATTAGATGTTATTTCTCAGTTTTACCAAATCTACGACATTCCTGAAGAATTTCACAATAGACTGCCGAAATTATTTATCCTATTTAATTGTCATAAGCATAAGAAAGTATTGTTTTGCTTCTTAGTTCTTACCGGCGATCGCACCGCTCGTTGCCCGCCCTCGCGCCGCTGCCACGCCGCTGTTTTCGAGAACCGGTCCATTTAATGTTACGCATAAGATCCTGCCTATCCTGCGAGGCAGCAGCCTAACTAGTTTTTACCAGATTATTTTAGTATTATACAAATTATAAAAAGATTATGCTTAAGCCCTTTATGTTGTGAGGTGATGCAACTATCGTGTTATAGCGATAACTAATATAATATATTAAAATGACTGTAAGGCACTAAGTCACCATTTATAAGCTAGTTTGTCTAGAATCCTTAGTGGCTATTAATTATTATCCTTAAATATGGGTTTTTGTATAAAAGTAAAATGTACTAAGTGTTTGTATGGAAAAGGTGTTATGTTTATGAAACTCGGAATATAACTTATGTGAGTCTGATAATAAATTAATTTTGAAGCGACCTTTTTTTATTTACTTCTTTTACTTTTTTCTAATTACATTATTGTTTTTATATATTATAAAACGTCTCATGACTGATAAAAAATGATCTAGTTGAGTGCCGCCTTTTGTAAGTGGCGACAAGACACTGCCTGCCCGAACGAATTAGATGTTTTTTCTGAATAATATTATATTTATTAAAAATATTATTGTGCCAATAATGCAGCAGTTTTAGAAAACTAAGATATAATCTAGTCTTCTGGGTTCATAGTGTAAATAAAGTAACTTTAAAGCCCTTAAAATTTATAATATACACTTACGATTTTTAAAGGTAATCTATTAAATACACATCCTCATAACTTGCAGGTTTCTTTAGTATCTCTGAAGAGAGATGGTTACGCACAACACAGTAAGGACCTAGTGTTTACTAGCTTAGGAAAAAACATGGCCAGTCCAAAGGGCCTGCTGATGTTAAGATACGAACTTTACACTTGTTAAAATTCGAATGCGCGATAAAGCATACAATTGTACTAAATAGTATAGCCAAAGTTTCAAATGGTGTCACGGAGTGTCTTACAAAATATAGAAAGAATAAAAAACATATTTTATAAACCGTTTAATAATATAAATAAGGAATGTTATAACATCACAATTCTAAGCTATCTAATACATTAGTAACTTAATTCTAATATAATTTGGTTTATTAATACTCATAATAGATGCCTTAAAACAAATTTATACAAATTTTCTATATTTCATGATCATAATTTGTTTAACAAAGTTCTCTTGATATCCGTAGCGCTGATGGCAAACTTGGAACAAAACACCTCATTTACTTAAATTAAGATTCCTTTAATGGACTCGACTGATTTCGAGTATAATCGCATTTTCGTGTATTTTTTTATTATATAAAAAAGAACGATTTTTGAGACTCAATTAATACTTACATTTCCGAGATGTTTTAATTCTTAAATTTATAGCGGATTAAACTTTTGACATCATCCAACATTTACATACAATTATAAATGTTTTTTCCAAATAGTGAATGTTTTGTCTCGTTTGACACAAGAAGGACACAACACAGTAAATTTGAAGAAATAAACCGCAAAAATAATTTTATATATAACATTCAAATCATATTTTATCCGTCGAAGATTCTTTGTTTGTCGACACCATCATATTAGCCTACAATTGAACTGCATTATACAAAATAATATTTTACTATTCGTCAAAGTAACCAAATGATTTAAACAATCGTTTTTTACGGCTGGAACTGTTTTTTGAAGTTATACTTCTTTAGGCGCGTTATGAAAAATTGATGATAGTGAAATTTTACGATGCGCGCGCACCGTGACACAAAATTAACAGAATGAAGTTAGTTCTAGGTGGCATGAAAATCGATAATAACTATGTTCAAATTGTATATTCTAGTTTCTTTTATATATTTAGAACACGTGTTTCGTAACAGTACAATTAAACAGTGTGAATAAATAAATATTATTTTGGTGTTTTTATTAAATCAATTTCATATAACCTCACCTTTATTAATTATTCGCAACTAGACATCTTTCGTATCATTAAGCTGATGCCAATGTTCCGGACACTGTAGAAAGTATTTCCTCGCTGCGGCACAAAATCTTCGTTTGTACTGTTCCGGTGACACCACTGTGGGCTGACCGGAACCCAAGTTCTTTTTAACTAGATGTTCTAACTTCTTGTCCCATGTAAATGTTCGGATGTAGTCTGTAAAATTAAATCTCATTTATAACAAATGGCGCTCAAAAAAAAACCTCAAAGGGCCTCAGATTTCTGGTAATCTGTGATTTAAAAAATTCTACTAGGCCTGACACACGCCGTCGACTTTTCTTCACCGAGGGACTGTTAAATGCTGACATAGACAGAAAAGTCCGTTTGGGGTTTGAACCTACGACATCAAGACACAAAATTTTCACGTCTCAAAATCACTGATTAAATAGCTAACGTACGAACGTATACGTAGCGAATACAAATACGAATTTTGTATTTTCCAAATACTTATAACATATTTAAACTTTATAAAATAACTAGCTGCCCCTGCGAACTTCGCTTTTCCTTAATGTGATTTAACTTAGCCTATCTTTTTAGTACATCTTTTTAGTACCAACATGGAACATTTTGCTATGCTACCCCAGAAATTGTTCGGTTTTTCGGTGAATTTTTCTCTATAATAAACCTCAGAGTTCGTCATAAGATTTTAATCAACAAATAAAAAATAGGAGTTGATTGTAGAGGGGTGAAAATGTATTATAATTTTAATTGTATTTTTTAATGGCACATTATAAAAAAAATTAAAAATTCAAATTTCGTCCAAAAAAATAAAAATAAAATGTTAGGTGTGGACAATCCTTATCACTTAGGGTTATGAAAAATAGATAGTAGCCGATTCTCAGACCTACTGAATATGCATATAAAATTTGATAAAAATCGGTCAAGCCGTTTCGCTGCCCATAGACACTCACACTGTCAGAATGCTCGCAAGCGCGGCTGCCTTTTAATAATTGGTTTCGAATAGGAGTATTATATGCCGCTGTCAACATCAGCTCCGTATTTATCGAAACATTAAGAAATAATTGTGTACCCTAACCCAGTGTATAGACCAAAAAGTGGAAAATAATCAATCATCTATTAACATACAGTGTGGGCAAAGCTTTTTATTCAGTGACTCAGTGCTAAATTGTGAAAAAGTGCAATATCAAAAAGTAGTCGAAGTGCTATCAAAAGACACCCAGTCGAAGCGAAATAACAGTGGTTTTATCAAAATTAGTTACTGAAAATTTAAAGGGTCGATCAATTATAGATTTGTGAACTTTTACAACAAAATCAATAAAAATATAACCTATTTTTGCTAAATGAGAATGCAAAAAGATAACAATAGCGCATAGTCGATAACGCCATCTAGTATAGAGTGCCTGTACCATAACAACAAGGTCCACTTTGATCGTCTCGATCGATCGACGGTCAAGTTTTATAAGTACTTCAGAGGTCCGACAATAGAGGGCGTTACCAATACCAATCACTAAAATCGTACAAGGAAAAGAAGTGGACATTATCATCGGAGGACAGTAAACTACCTGAGGATAACATTTATGCAATAAACTTTTTAAAATTATCAGAATATAATTAACTGTTAGTGAAAAAAAAAATAACTGCTGTGCAATTTATTTTACAAAGTTTAACATCGCCGAAATAATAGGAGATTGGACATTAGATTTAGTTAACTTAGGACATTAGTTAATTATAGTATAATATAAAAACATTAACTAACTATGTACATCTTCGTATCTTTATACTTGTATCATAACAAATAAATATTGTTAGAATATAGCATAGGGTTAGTGTTGGATATTAAGGTTTTGTATGAATTAACGTGAACAGGTACGGTATCGGTACGGTAAATATAATTAAAAGAATTACTAATCAATTTCTCGACGAACGGTATTCTATATTGTAATATTTGGGTACCTATAACAATTGAATGCATCGCGTTCATCATAACATTATTATTTGATAATATATACTGATAGTTGACAGTATATATATATATATACACACATATTATTATTTTGAAAAACATTTTTCTTTTTTTTTTTTCTTTCTCTTTGTGACGCACGACCTGTCAACACATATACGCTAACATGTTTAAAACACCACCTAAAGGCATGGTAAAATCCAAGGACTGCACTCATGAAGCAGGTATGTCAACAGAAGAATCGCAGGTTCTGCGCAGCGTGAGGGAACAAGAAAATAATATAATTGAGTTGGACGCTAAACAAATGACAAGAAAGACACCAGCTTCAGCCAAAAACTCAATAAAGACGTGGATCCTAAATTCTCAAGTGTCTCCCAAAACGAAGACCCCTACGAGCGAGGCGAAAATCTTATACACGACCATCAAGAGTACAATCAGCAGTTTAAAATTTACAAAAATGGAACTAAAAGATAAAATTGTAAGTGCCGCGGAAAGACTTTTTGAACTTGTCAAGGAACTGGAAAAAACGAACGGTGACATTACAGCACGGGTCGATACAAGTCAACTAGTTGGAGGGGAGCAGTCAAAAGAAGAAAACACGCTAAATACGGAATGTGGCAGCGACGCTAGAGAAATTTTAATGAGAATAGAGGAACAAGGAGCTCTTATAAGAAAAAATAACGATAAAATTGAACAGTTAAAACTACTAATCGAAAAACAGGATAAAACAGACGAAATAAGGGAAAAAAGATTATAAATAAGATAGAAACAACTACATTCTCGATACAGTCCACATATGCCAGTATCGTTGCGGGTCAGAAAAGTAAAGGAGAAAGGAACACGGTTGCATCCAACTTAAAGCCTACCGCACTTCACTCTTTAATTGTTACTTCAACAGAACAAGAGACGAGCAATGAAATTATCGAGCGCATTAAAACGGCAGTAAATGCAAAAAAGACCGGAATAAACGTAGATAAAGTAAGAAAAGCTAAGGATCAAAAAGTAATTATAGGCTGTGAGTCCACCCAACAGCTACAAAAAGTATCGGAACGGTTAAAGATTGACAAGACACTAACATTTCAGACTGCCAAAAACAAAGACCCTTTAATAATTCTTTACGATGTATTGCAAACCAATACGGATGACGATATTATATCATCAATTAATACTCAAAATGAACACCTAATAAAACACTTAAATAAAGAGGACATAAGGGCTACAGTAAAGTATCGTAGAAGAGCTAGGAACTTGCATACGAATCACATAATTGTACAAGTTTCTCCTCCATTGTGGGGAATACTAACAACTGAAGGTAAAATGCACATCGACTTGCAAAGGGTTAAAGTTATGGATCAATCACCCCTGATACAATGCTCGAAGTGCCTAGGATACGGGCATGGTAGGCGATCATGTACAGCAGAAGAAGAAAACTGTTCACACTGTGGTGGGCCTCATAAAAAGATCGATTGCCCGGAATATATGGCTGGGGGATCCCATCCTGTATTAACTGTAAACGTGCGAACCTGGAAATTACAGATCATAACAGCTTTGACTCTGAGTGCCCTACGAGGAAAAGATGGGACTTATTGGCAAGGGCCTCAGTAGCATATTGCTAAGGTTGCCTCAGTTGGCCCAACGGACAAAAACTCAAAATCATACTTAATAGTTCAAGCAAACCTACAGAAGAAAAACTTGGCCACTAACGAAATTATAATTGAATCACAGAAGAAAGGTATAGCAATTGCGTTACTACAGGAGCCATACATCGGCGCCAGAGGTAGGGTGAGGCAGTATAGGGGGGCTAGAGTCTACCAAAGCACCGCAAAAAACGAGGGGGTTGTAAAAGCTGCGATAGCAGTGTTTGACCACGACTTAAAAGTTGAACAGTACCCCGAACTTACCACAAACAATATTGTGGTGGTAAAAATTCACACAGGTGCGTGGGAAATGGTAGCCGTCTCTTACTACTTTGAACCTTACCCCAAACCCTTGGTGCCATACCTAGACCAACTAGTTAAAATCAAAGGCAAATTTAAACGCAACTTAATTTTTGGAGGAGATGCAAACGCAAAAAGTGTCTGGTGGGGCAGCTCAGTAATTGATGAAAGGGGAGAAGATATGGCTGCAACACTGGAGCAATTAGAAATGCAAATTTTAAATCAGGGAGACACCCCCACATATTATACCATACGAGCCAATAAACAATATACCAGTTTTATAGACGTAACGGCTTGCACATTAGATATGTTACAAAAAATTGAAAATTGGCAAGTAAATCAAAACTTAATTAGCTCTGACCACAATGCTATTACCTTTACAATAAAACAGAAAATAACAAAGAATAACACAGAATTAAAAACAACAAGGATATATTATACTAAAAAAGCTAACTGGACTAATTTTCTAGAGAAAATCGGTCAGTTACTTTTGGAAAATAGAATAAATCAACAAAACGTAGATAATATATCCGATAAAACAGAGTTAGAAGACATTATAGCAACATATATAAATATTATAACAGAAACCAGTAATGCCTGCATACCTAAAATAAAAAATAAATCACTCCCTACCATACCGTGGTGGACCAAAGAACTGGCAAACCTTAAACGGATAATGGTGACTAAAAAGCGTAGGATTCGATGCGCTGCCGCGGTTCGAAGACAGAAAGTGATAAAAGAATATCTAGAGGCTAAGGATATATATGAGAAAGAAGCAAAAAAAGCACAGATTAATAGTTGGAAAGAGTACTGTGAAAAACAGGATAAAGAAGGAGTCTGGAAGGGGATATATAAAATTATAAATAAAACCACTGAGAGGCATGAAGACCTACCGCTAAATAATCAAGGTAAAACTCTATGTTCAAGGGAGTCGGCTGAGCTACTTGCAGAGGTTTTTTATCCTCGCGATCAAGAGGAAGACGATGATCAGGAACATAAGAAAACAAGACAGCTCGCTGAAACAGTAAATGAACAGGACCATGATGACAACCATGATCCTCCATTTACTATTACTGAACTCAACATGGTGATTGGTAGCTTTGACTGCAAAAAAGCACCTGGATCAGATGGCCTCACTCTCGATATTTGTTCACGAGCTATCCTGCGGGATCCGGGAGTGTTCCTATCAATGGCAAACAAATGTCTAGAACTTGGATACTTCCCGAAACTATGGAAAGTCGCAACAGTAGTGGTTCTCAGGAAACCTGGTAAGGATGACTACACGAGTCCAAAGTCCTATAGACCAATAGGTCTTCTGCCCGTGATGGGAAAAATCCTAGAAAGGTTGCTTGTGTCTAGATTAAAATGGCATGTGATACCCAAACTAAGCCACCGTCAATACGGTTTTATGCCACAAAAGAGCACAGAAGACTCCCTCTACGACCTTGTCGGCTATATACGAGACCAACTAAATGGGAAAAAATTGATAACGATAGTTTCCTTGGACATAGAGGGCGCCTTTGACAGTGCCTGGTGGCCAATGATACGGGTTCAGCTGGCTAAACTAGGGGTCCCGATTAACCTGAGAAAGATAATAGATAGCTACCTAAAAGAACGAAAGGTTCAGTTAAAATATGCGGGAGAGGAGGTAAATAGAAATACGTCGAAAGGATGCATTCAGGGATCCATAGGTGGCCCTATACTCTGGAACCTACTTTTGGATCCATTGCTGCAAGAAATGGAAAAAAAGGGGTACTATTGTCAAGCCTTTGCAGACGACGTCATCATGGTGTTTGTCGGAGAATCAGCATTTGAAATAGAACGAAATGCTAATGCTGCTCTTGCTTATGTAATAGATTGGGGTACCAAAAATAGACTCAGATTTGCTCCACAAAAACCCAAGCTATGATTATAACTAAAAAAAAAAATATGACAAACCACATTTGAAAATGGGCGGAGTGTCCGTGAAACTATCAGATGAAATAAAAATACTTGGTTTGACTCTCGATGCTAAATTGACCTTTAATAAACATATCTCCAATATATGCAGGAAAGCAACAAATATTTACAAACAATTAGCAAGGGCGGCGAGAATTGGCTGGGGTTTACACCGAGATGTAATTCATATTATTTATACAGCAGTCATCGAGCCGATAATCTTATATGCGGCAGCAGTCTGGGCTCCAGCCACTAAAAAGCTAGGAATTAGGAAGCAATTAAATTCAGTACAACGAAGCTTCGCGCTGAAGCTCTGCAGAGCTTACCGAACCGTATCACTGAATGCCAGCTTGATCCTCGCTGGACTATTGCCCTTAGACCTTAGAATCCAGGAGGCCGCTGTGCTATACGAAGCAAAGAGAGGATTATTTCAGTCTGAATTGGAAGGTGACCTGGAGCAAAGAGTATCGTGGATGAGTATTCCTCACCCCTCCAAAGAACCTGATATCAAATTTATAGCCTATAGAGAACAAGAGCGTCCTAGAACAGATGCACCGGCAGTAAAGATATATACGGACGGAAGTAAAGTAGACGAATTGGTCGGTGCCAGCGTTTCCTTATGGAAAAATGGTGCCGAATTCGAGACTTTTAAATTGAAACTATCTTCATGCTGTTCCGTGTATCAAGCTGAACTGGTGGCTATTCTTAAAGCGACTCAAAGGATCCTTTGTCACCCAGAAACAACCTACGGCGTATATAGTGACTCCCGAAGTGCACTCGAAAGTGTTGCGGGTGGTCGCTCTTTCAATCCCCTTGTAGTTGAAATTCGTAAGAACATAAATAAAGCGCATTTACTCAACAAAAAAATTGATATTTTTTGGGTTAAAGCGCATTCGGGCATGGAGGGGAATGAAAGAGCAGACCAACTAGCAAGGAAGCTGCGCATCTAGAAGAGGCGCCCGTGTACAATAGATTTCCCATATCGCATTTGAAGAACTGTCTACGTGGAAACACGATAGAAAAATGGAATCACAGATATCGAGACGGTGAAACAGCTGCAATAACCAAGTTATTCCTTCCAAATGTTGCTTCGGCCTTTTCGATAATTAAACAAATGAAGCCAACGGGATTGATCACTCAGATGTTGACAGGTCACGGTGGCTTCCTGTCGTATCTTCACAGGTTCAGGGTTAGACAAAGTGCTGCCTGTCCTTGTGATGATGCAGCTGAAGAGACAGTGTTGCATGTTCTGACCGACTGTCCCATGTATGGATACGACAGGTATAACGCTGAGCAAGCTATGGGCATGAGGGTAACGGAGACGAGTTTGAAGGGAATAATGCTCAATGTTAGGTTGAGGGGCATCTTTTTGGGATTTGCCGTGAGGGTCATGCAGGGGGTTGTCAAAAGAAATAGGTAGTAGTAGAGTAGTAATATAGTAATAGAAAGTAAACATTCGGGTTACCAATACATTTATGTAAGCTTTTTAACACCTCCGACGACTATATAGTCGGGGAATAATCTGGAAACATTTTAAAAAAAAAAAAAAAAAAAAAAAAAAAAAAATTGGTTTCTTAAAAGTGTTAGAAAATATAAAAACTGCCTCCAAACTCACCGATTATCCCTAGTACGAGTGTATCATCCTGTATTCCCAACAGAAGGGAGTAATCCATGACGTGATGCTGCGCCAAAAACGATGTGTCCCGCTCCAAACTCGCCCAAAGTTTACTCCCCGTACTCGACTCTACGTATAACTGACGGTCCCAACGCACTAAAATGTACCAGACACGTCATGAATACAGGTTAACATGAATAATAGCAGTGTTAAATTGCTCCACAGATATTTATTGAAGTTATACATCTTTTGGCGCGTTAGGGAAAAATTATGAGACACACCGTCACAAAAAACCGACACCCTAAAAATTGCATATTCAACACTTTAAAATAAAAAATTTCAATTTCTATAATTATGTAGAAATATTTTTTTTGTGATATGTAACTAGATAATGCGTTATAATAAAACTTTTAATGTATTAAATGCCTTTTTCTATTGTTAGTGTCATTTTTTCTACAAACGTAGAATAAGGCGAAAGATAAAAATTTTAAAAAGATTTTTATCTTGTTACGCCAAAGAAGTATAACTTCTAACGCGTGTACATAAGTACACACACGTACCTAGAATCTGCGCTTACAAATCACTGCGATGACGTCATATCCCGTAACGCGCTAAGTTATTCCGGCCGTTAAAAATTTACAAGTTCTCGATCTTAGCCACTGGGGGCTTTGGGCCAGTCACAGGTTATATAGAAGATCGTCCCTTTAGGTTGGAGAAACATTATACCTTCCGCCCTCCACTTATTCCAATTAATTATTAAGACAAATTGCGTCTCGAATCATATACGTTAATACAACAAATGAAACATATTCAAAATTATACTTTTAAATTTATCAAAATGATTTTTTTTTTAATTTTTAAAATTTAATTTACGCTTATGTGATTGATCTATATTTTAATCCTAAAACAAATATCGGGCCCGAGTATTATTATCGAGTAAACTATGTCAGTTTGAAATTAACAACACCAGATTTAACTAGCTTTGTCATTCGCGGATGTACCTTTAGTAGAAATAACCTGTTAACTGGCAAATAAATTGTTTTAAAACATGCGTAATATTTTTGGAATTAAGAAAATAATCAAAAAGGATTTCCAGAACAGTTATCTGAATAAACATATGTGGGAAATATATTTTAACATACAATATGACGCCCTTATAAGATTTTTTAAAATAAGTTTTTATGTAAAAGAACCTACGACAATACACATTGTATTAACAAATAACTACTCACGCGCAAGAAGATTATCATCGACAAGTACGGCTTGATTCGGCGGCATCGAAGCAGCTCCCGTCGCTAGTCTGTGACGAGCGGCGCCCTTCAGTTGATAAGATAGATAATTTTAAACTCTATTATAACATACCGCGTGCTTTGTGGATTTGTCTAAAACATTTGACTTAGTGTCTTATGACCTTCTCTGGTATAAATTAAGAACAAGAACTGGTGTTCCGGTGGAAAATGTGAAAGTTTATGATTATTGGCACTCCAAACATTGTGTAAGATGTACAGTGTGGAGTAAAACAGGGTACGGTACCAACCCTCTAAACTCTTAATTTTCTCTCTTTAGGAATAGTGGTGTGGGCTGTTTAGTATGCCACATTTGTCAATAATATTAATTAATATTCATAAAAAAATCAGTTATTACATAATAGCTTGGACCCGTGGATTTATTGCTCCATGATGATCAATCTTTATATTTCAGTAAAGTTTATGAAACTATAATTATACACCTAACCTACCTAAGGAATAAATAGGAAACTAAAAAACATACCATAAGCTATACCATACACCTAAATTCAACACCAATTACGGAGGAAACTACAAATGGTTCGGGCGGCGGGTAAGTTTGAAAATTTGACTGTTGAAATTGAGCTGTTCAGGCCAAGTGTGGTGTCAGCAAATAAATATTGTATCTTAAGTTTACTGTATAATGTTCCTCAACTAATTGCATTGTTTATTGTTAGCCTGGATTAAAAGGATTATATTTTCACCAATGCACCTAATTATGAAGTACGTACAAAGTTTATATTTAGTGCATGGTTTAGTTATAAGCCCTAATGCATAAAATATTTTTCCGACAACGCAAAAGATGGAAGGACGAACTCAAATTAACAGTAGGCTACAACTGAAGAAGAGTCGCAAAGGATAGAGTACAGTGGAAACTGTTAGAGGAGGCCTATTCGAAGAAGCCCACCTATTACAATACACAATATATTATTATTATGAAATTATGTAAAAATAAAATATATAGAATACTGTAAACTAACTTTAAGGTCAAACCGCAACATATCCCCTCTTGTGGGTCCGTACCAGACGTGTTCTATGACCAGCACGCCGCTTCCCGCTCCGCCCACGCTGAACACGCCCAAGATTCGGGCTACAAAAAGAAATATTATTTTTAGAATAGCATTTTCAACGTGTGAATTTATAATTCACAAAGGTAAATGGCAAACCAATATGTTTTGTATTAAGTGAATATTATAATCTTCAAGTACTCGGTTTGTTTGTACCTAGGGATTGTTTGCCACCAAGGGCCAGAACTAGTCTGTTGCACAGATCCGTTCAGTTAACAAAAACATTGCGTCTACTGAATACTGTCTCCAACCCTTTAGACATAGTTATATGTTCGCAGAGTGAATTCACAGTAGCAATATAATTTATCTTATGTACTTGATGAAATACATAGCATAACCAATATCTAAAAAAAAATCCGGCATTATCGTTTTGGCCTACGTTATATATTTCTGTGAAATAATAAATTTTGAGTTAATTTCGTGTGTGTCGTGTCCTTTTTTATTTGAAACGGATATATATATCAGAAAATTGGTTGACTACTTTTTAAGATATGTATCCAGGCATTGCTGTATGGGACATAATATGTAATAGGTACGTATAATTGACAGGTACTTAAAGTAGATTTTTTGTTTCTTTGATTGATTTCAAGAATTCTGCATTAGTTGAAATGCTAAAGAAATATTAATCTAGATGTATATACCTGATGTCCTAATATATAATTAACGCGTAATGTCAACTCACCAAGCAAACTCGACGATCCATTGGCCCGACAACTAGTGACGTAATTGAAGTAATGCGGCGCGAACTCTAAGAATTGCTGCCATTCTGGTTTCGTCATCTCTTTTAGTACGTATCTGTCGTCTTTAAAAAAAAGGTAAAAAGCGGATTTGATTAATGATTTGCCTTGCTAGACTTTTAACTTCAAGACCAGTGTTGCCAACCTTTTTTGTGCCATGCCCCACCTTGCCTATCTAAAATTCGTATGCCGTATGTAAAATACATAATTTATATAACAAAATTAATTGTTCACTATTTAAATATTACAATATTTAATTAACTATTTAATTATTAACAATATTTAAATTATAGGTTTTAGAAAGAAATCACGAGGAAAATCTTAACGAAACAATAAGAAAATTTTCAAAACAATGAAAATTTCAAATTCAAATAATTTTCTATATCAATTTAGCGCTTGACGCTTACTGCACAGAGATTTTATTAGCTTCCAATTTAGTTAGCTTCAGTCTCAAGTCTCCACGCTGTGTTATATGCAGCTGATTTCTCTTGCCCCTCTTAATAATCAAATTGCCCCCCTGTGGGCGGAGGCCCCACGTTGGGAAACTGCTCTAGACATTAGTCACTGAAGTTTATTCAAGATGAAAATTAATTAAATAAACATATTAGATGTATGTATATATATATATTGTTAAACATAACTTATGAGAATTGATAATGTAATGAGTCGCGTTTATATCCGTTAATTTTTTTAGTCTAATTTATTTAAGTACATTAAATGACAATCGAATATTTAAAAATAAATACTATTACGGTAAACATAAAAATTTCAAAAAGAGAAGAAAAACTTAAGTTTTTTATTATTATTATTAATAATTACCTATTGAAAGATTCACCAATATATTATACCTTTAGTTTTGCAGAAAGTAGAACCCGACTTCCCTCCCCTGGTGGCCCATGGCACGCAATGCGCCAGGGACCGGATGAAGCCCTCTTCTATTTCACACACACCTTTAGCTGAAGTATCATAGTAACAATTATAAGTCATATATAGTAAAAGAGTTATCTTTGTGTAATAAAATTCCACTCCACACACACATCGCTACGAAGTACATGATTCCACAACTAAGTTTTTAATTTCTTCACTACTATGTGGAACCAGCGACGCATTAAGTACGTACAAATTTCACTTAGGCTTTAAGAAAAGAAAAGAAAAAGAAAAGAAAAATCTTTATTTTTCTCCACAATCTTACATTGAAATTAACTAAATATTAAGAAACAGATATATTGTCGCAAGGAAACATTATAAGATTGTGAGAGACTGGTGACTGAACTAAGCAGGGCTTGTATCTCAGACCACCAGCCTCTCCCCACATGGTGTAAAAAAGTAGCCAGTAACAAGAGTAAATTATTAATAAGGACATTTTACAGATGTAACATGGAGAAAAGAGGTACCTAATTAAAATATGTAGGTGTGCAATCGCGCCGATATAACATCCGTGCTAATTATTATATATATTATTATATATATATATATATTAGTACTTAGATAAATATATATATATTAGTACTTAGATAAATAGATAACAGTACATAAATAAGTATAAAAAATAAATAGTAAATCAAAAATAAGCTATAAATTGTAAGTTAGACCATTGGTTGGATTAAGTTTTCAGTCTCATCATAGTTGAGACCCTGTATGTAGGCAGTAACCTTCTTTTTACAACTGAAGGATAAGAGTAAGTGAATATTCAGCTTGCGAATTAGTTTGTTGTAAATAAAAGGGCCGAGGTAACAGTAGAAGCGGTGGGAAAAGGCAGTGTAGAGAGAAGGAAGGTGAACAGGGGGTGGGCGGCGAGCAGATCGAGAGGAAGAAGGACTAGGTTTATGTTCGTGATGCTGTTTGAGGGCTGTGTTTAGGATGAACAGTTGACGTACTGTAAGCATCTGAGCTTCCTGATAGAGGGTGAAAGTAGGGAAAAGAATGGGTTTGAATAAGCAAACTTTTAGAAGAGCCCTCTGGGCACGTTCCAGGGACAGCAGATGGGTTTTGGCTGCACCACCCCAAGTGGTGATAGCATATAATAAAACAGATTGACATAATGCTAAATACATCATTCTGACTATATGAGGCTCGGCAACATGACGAATTTTCTTAAAGATAAACATGAGTTTGCGGACTCTACCACACATATTCATAAGATGGGCCTGAAACGTGAGTCGACTATCTAGTGTGATGCCAAGATACTTAACCGTACAACCTCTCTTCAATGTAGCGCAAGAGCATGGAACAGAAGGAACAGAAGAATGTGTATGGGCAGTTAAGGAATACGGGATTAAGGCTATGGGAGGAGTATATATGGAGAAGGTAAGATAGCAAGTTTTCTCTATATTAAGAGTTAATAAATTTTGGCGCAGCCAACACGAAACGATATCAAATCCGGTCTGTGCATAAGAGAAAGCTTCCCTCCAGCTTTTTGCAGAGAAAACAAGAGCAGTATCGTCGGCGTAAGAGACCAATTTGCTATTAGGTATTTTCAGGGAACACAGATCATTCATGTACACTAGGAACAGCGTAGGACCAAGAATGCTGCCCTGGGGGACTCCGAATTCCACTGGAAGGTAAGAGCTGACATGGCCATCTACCACTACACATTGACTCCGACCGCTGAGGTAACTTTTAAATAAGGAAAGTTGAACTCCTCTCACTCCAAGCGCTTCCAGTTTCTGTAGAAGGATTTGGGCCGAGACAGTGTCGAATGCCTTCGCGAGGTCTAAGAATATGCCCAGACACTTCCTATGGCTGTCCAAGTTCCTAACTATGTGATCGGTTAATTCATGGATGGCATCCGATGAAGATCTTTTAGCTCTGAAACCGAATTGATTCGGAGAAAGTAATTGTTTATCTTCCAGATAACTAACGAGACGTTTGTTTATTAGGCGTTCAAGGATCTTGGACAGTGCTGACAGAATAGAGATGGGGCGATAGTTGTCGACACTGCCACGGTTGCCGGATTTGAAAATGGGATGCACTATTGCCTTTTTAAAAGCGGATGGGAAGATTCCCGTACGCATACTTAAGTTACATACATGGGCGATTGGTGTAGCTAATATTTTAAGGTTGCGTTTAAGTATGGCAGACGTGATGTTGTCCCAACCTGCAGCACAGCTTTCTTTCAAGGAATTTATAGTGATTTCGACTTCTTCAATAGAAGTGTCGAGCATGACTAATGATTGGAGAGGAAAAGGAGGATTTGGTCGTAATGGAGGTGGAGAGTCGTGTTGATGATTGGATTGTATATTTAAGGCAAGCGATTTTCCGATACCCACAAAGTGAGAGTTAACATGGTTTGTTGAGTCTTTTGGAATCGCTCTACATTTTAGGAGGTCACTTGGTCTATCATGTTTTTTATTAAGATTACTAACGTCTTTTATAGCTGTCCAAAGTTTTTTGGTGTTAGTTCCTGCATTTAGTAGTAGACCTTTTTCATAATTCTTTTTAATTTCTTCAGTAGACTATTACAGAAGTTCCGGTATCTGTAGTATGTTTTGCGCAGAATATCATTTTCAGGTTGCTTTTTTTAGTTTGTAATGCATTCTATCTCTATTACGTATACATTTAAGTAAGCCTGGGGTCATCCATGGCTTGATGATTTTAGTGCGGTGAGAGCGAGTCATGACGGAGGTGTGCATAGAGATAACTGATTGAAGAATTTCTATCAAATTGTTGGTTGCTTCTTCACAGTCAGTGTTATTGAGAACAGATGAAAAATCTGTATTCAGGAGAGACTGTGAGAGGCTATCATGATCCACTTTTTTGATAGATCGAGTAGGAGCAGAGTAGCGATTCTTTATATCTAAGGACATTACTACTGAACTATGATCAGTGATTGAAGAATTGATGACAAGAGTAAGAGCAGTAAGAGGTGATTTAAGAATACCGTGATCAAGACACGTAGAAGAAGGAAAACGAGTAGGGAAGGTATGAGTTGGGAGAAGCCCATGGAAAACCAACATGTTGAGATAATCTTCAGCTTCTTGGTTAAGATTCTCTGGAGTAATATCAATATTTATGTCACCTAAGATTATTATATTTTTGAAACTTTTAAGAGATTCTAGCAAGGTATTTAGAGAGTTAATAAAGTTCGTTTTATTTTTGAAAGCACTTGGTCGATAAATACCTAAAATTGCAGTATCAATATTAAGTTTAATTAAGAGAACGCTGGCTTCTGCTACAGAGGGTTCTTCAATTGAGATGCCTGTAATACAATTTTTATAGTAAACCAGGACTCCGTCATTTTTATTAACTGGGTTACAGGAAGAGATGCTGGAGAAACCTTTTATGGTTGGTATTACCGGGTTGCTTTCTAGAAAACATTCAGTGAGAATGATAATATCCGGGATAGTATGAAAATTTGTAAGTAAAATTTCAAAGTTCGCGAAATTTGCCGATAAGCTCCGAATATTTTGCGTTATAATATTTAGGACTTTATTATGTTTAGGTAAATAGTTTCGGACTTCATGTGGATCACAGCAATGGCTTGAAGCAACCGATAGATTATCGATGTTGTTTAATAATTGTCTATTATTACGATCGAATTTTGAAGCCTTGAGTAACTAAAAGTAACCAATTTGCTAGCACAATACAGTTATTAAATGGGAATAGCAGTGTAAGGTCAATGAGTGCAAGCATAGGCTTACTAAACTTAAGGATATATGCACGCATTGGAATTAGAGTACAATTTAAATAGTATATATCAGTGAGATAGTCATAGATTATGTATAAGAGAAAAGTGTCTACAATATTTGTGTGTGAATAAAGAGGTATGAAATTAATTACGTGAGTAACAACTCTAGAATAATATTTGAAAATTGAGCCTAAGGAACCAAATACTATCAGAAATGCTAAATTATATAGGTATATTATATGAGGAAATATAAAATATAATATAATACATATGTAAAGGAGCGTCGGCACTATAGCACAGTTACAAACAATGATCTTACCTAGTACTAATATCATAGTAATTAAAAACTAAATCTAATCATAAACAAAGACGGAAATACGTCGCAAGGATCTAGTTTTTTTGGCTGGGGGCCAACCAGCTGACTTTCATTAGTAACAACAATGAGTTTGGTGTGGTCTGCCTGCCTCAGCAGCACTCGGCCTCCGGAAGTCCAGCAATACTTATATTTTTCCGTCTTGGCGTATTCTCGAGCTAGATAGTATAGGCGGCGTGCCTGTGCCGTCAGATGCTCGGCGAAGTAAATCGGATGTTGCGGACCACCGACGATGGTGGAGTTGAGTTTGTTACTGCCTCTGTTATGTTCTTTGAAAGCCTTCAGAATTCTTCCCCTCGTAATAACTGAATTCAGGGTGCATACCAGAGTGATACTATCAGACTTTGACGGGACGCGGCGGATATCAAATATCTCAGACAACGAGACTTCCACCGATATCTCCTTGAAAAGCCGAGTGACAACAGATATCTGCTCATCCTGAGACAGAGTTCTGTTTGCCAGCCGGATGTTACGAATTTCCAGGGAGCTCAGCCTAGAACGACGGTCCATATCCTCTGTTGTGTCTTCAACCTTAGATACACGCTCGAGGAAAGATTGTGTTTGTTTTTGATGTGAACTCAATTGTAACAGCAAGTCATCATACTTTTGCGACAAAAATTCTATAGATTTTTCTGTTTCACTCTGCGAAGCCAGAATTTCTGTGTTTTGTCGCACAACATCCTGCACGTACGTTTTTATTTCTGACAATTTCTCATCAGTTTCCTGTCGCCACATATTAATCGTGTTTAAGAATTTATCGATTTTTGACTCTTCCGAAGCTCCACCACATTCGCACCGCCTACGCTTCGAACGTTGAGTAATGTTGTCATCAATAGTGCTAGTATCACTTAAGTTTAAGTTTGGAGCGGAGCCATACTGTACATCTTGTTTACATGGACTTCTAATCATTTTGTGATCGCAAACAGAAGAAGCTATCCGTGTCAATGCAAAAATATATATAAAGGCGACAACACTTAAAGTGATGTGCGATTTACTAATAATCTTATGGTATAATTAGTAAATCACTATTGGGCCCTGTACTAGCCACGCCTCCTTTAACTTGCTCGTACGCAGGTGGGCGTTACTGCTAATTAGCCACTCGAATTGCGGGATGCGTAACGACGAGATGCGCCAAATATAATTATCTCACTCACTCTTATGCTGCGTTACTTGAGTGGCCTCCGAGCTTGGTGGGAGAGCCGTAGTCACCTCGCAGTACACGAAGCTTGTCTTGAGTATCCTCGGGAGTTATGTGCGCCTAGTACTCGAATCACTTATTTTTGAATATATTAAATTTAAAAATATTTTTAAAATAATTTTATAAGGTGTAGCCGTAAAACACGTCTAGTCAGCCAGACATCCAAGGGGGAGATGGAGGATTAAGAAAAGAGCGTACCAATTCTAGAAAATTCTTCTAAAAGTCCGGCAACGCACCAACAAGAATTGTGGCATATGTTGCCGGTTTGTTCTTAAGTCTTATAAAAGAACAACACTCAAAATAAACCGATAAAAAGCTCTAAAAAAAAAAATCGTTATTAAGTATTAACAATAGACTTACTTTCCTTCTCTTCTCTTCTTAGCGGGTCACAGCACTTATTTTCATCACCTGATTCCGCTCTTTCCCCGCTTATATTAGCTAATAGCATATGTCGTAATTTGTGAAATTGTACTGCGTAGTACACGCGACATATTAAACCATCCTAAAACGTAATAAAATGTTTAAAAACGATCGTACGACTTAAAAGTTGCCTGCCCAAATCGAAAACCAATAAACAAACGTAGAATAAAACGAATTACTCTCGAACTACTAAATGTCCCAGCGATGTCAAAATGACGGTTCTGTTTCCGCACAGACTTTAATTCAGTCTATCTTATCTATGGTCTCTACTAAATGTTACACTTCATGACAAATTCTTACCTTTAACAATACTTCGATATGGTCATTAGATTTTGCTTTAGCTTTGTCCCCATCAACTTTGTCTTTACTTGATGTTAAATCATCTTCTAACTCCGACTGAGTACTGCCAAACGCACACAAGTAAATTACACGTCAAATTGATAACATAATTCGAGTTTTTCAAGTCGGTTAAAATAATTAAAACCTAGAAATATAAATACTTTAAAGAACGAGGTCGTAGGTTCGATGTGCGGATTTAACTTTCACTCGAACGGTGAAGGAAAACATCGTGAGGAAACCGGCTTGCCTTACACCAAAAAAGTCGACGGCGTGTGTCAGGCACAGGAAGCTGACCTACTTGCCTATTAGATTATTTTCATCAGGGATAACGTAGGATTCTATGGTGAAAAAAAACCTAAAACCGGCGCATGCGCAACTTATTAGTCAGATTATAGTAAAAAAACAATAATTAGGGTGTTTTTCTCGATAAAGCATTTTAGTATAGAAAGAGATACTATTGGAGTAAATGTATGGACTTAAGATACCTATGTCTCTGTTTGTGTTGCTGCAAGCTAAGCTGGTACGTCACAGACGCCAGTGTTGCCGCAATCACTGATCCAATTTCTCCCGCTTTCACCAACACTGGCAACACTCCGCTCGATATTATCATCCCCGTCTGAAAATTCATACAATCTTCATTATCCAATAAGTGATATTTTTTTAATAACTCTGCACAAAGACACAATTTAACATTACGATCTTAATTAAGACTAATCAGTAATTTAAGTCTAATCTAATTTACTAATAAAACTAACTATTTACAATCTCTATAAGGGTAGGGTTGCCACCCTTACGTTATAATAAAGTATTGTACGTTATTCCAGGTAATTGTACTCTATACTTTATGTGAAAAATAAAGTCCACAAAAATACTTTATTGCGCGTGATGATTTCTTTAGTTGTAAATATTTTTCTTTAAACGAAATTTAAAGGCGCTGTATCGATGTTTAAATATAGATTGTAAAGATGCTGTGCAATTGTTTAAGATACTAACTTAATACAAGCTGCAAAAAGCAATAAAATATATATTTTTAAATATAATAATAAAAATAAATTGTACTTTACTTTGATACTATGTTTTTTTTGTGAACCAGTAGCAAATGCAAAAAAAATTGGTTGAAACCCTACTTAAGTTGAACGCTCTGTTCTTGTGTAATATTTTTAATCGTGGTACGTGATATAATTCGAAAATCATAACATAAGTAGGAATTGTGGGGATGGATAAATTTTCTGGTAGAACCGATTTGGTAGAAATTTGATACCTATAGAGATCGATGAATCTAGACTAATTTTTTTTAATTTATGAAGTTGCATATTTAAATTTCTGAATTTTATAGAAATATAAATCATTTTAATTTTAAGAAAAATTAAAAAAATGCATTACCTGATTCGAGGGTTGATTGTTAGTGAGGAGTTGAGACAATATCTGTTTAACTGTCTTTTTATCACCTCTTTCTTCCTCTTCTTCTGTACCTAATAATCAGTATTTACTTATATACAAAAAAATATCAGTGGCGCTACAACCTTTTTAGGTCTGGGCTTCAGATTTCTATATCTGATTTATGATCATTTGTCAATCTAATAGGCAAGTAGGATAATCAGCCTTCTATGCCTGACACACCGTCAACTTTGTGGGTCTAAGACCTAATTTCACGACGTACTTCGTACGAGCGAGTGTAAAGCCTCGTCGACAAGTTGAAAATGGAACAAAATAGAGATACTGCTCTTAAAATTATTGCGATAGCTCATTCGAACCGGAATGACGCCTAGAAAAATGTGCTAAAAGCGTGTATTAGCACATAAAAAATTACAAAAGTTATAGACCATTAAAGATGAAAAAAATGGAATTTAGTTTTTGCCAATATTTAATAAACTATTAATATTTAAGAAATTTCAAATAAAGATTCTGAAAGAGGAGGAAATTTCCAATAAAAACTCTCAGCTCCTCGGAACTCTATCTCCATTATTTATAACTTTAATTTAACCTGAAAATAGGTCTGTGCGTGACATTTTTAGGATTCGCGCGTGGCGTCAAAAGCGACTACGGCACATTAATTAATTTATTTAAGGTATTGAATATTTTTTTAAATTTGAAAAAATTATGGTGTGTTCTGAAACTATAATTAATTTATTCCCGTTGGAAATTTTACTTAAAGTTAATTTTTCAACAAGTTAAATAATTGTTAACTAACGAAATTTTCTCGAACGACCGTCTTAATTGTAAGTGAAAAAAATGTTTTAATAATGGTCGTAAAAATATTTCGCTTCGTAGAGCCTTTCTTACATACATACTTAACAAGATCGTGCCATAAAAGTTAAAGAAATATTTATACTTTGTTTATAACAATTTTTACTTAAACAAAAACTTAAAAATCCAAGTAATGTTGTTAAAAAATTTTTTTTCTAAATCACATATATCCTTTTTATATTAATACAAGATATTTATTGATTTGCAAAAAAAAATTTCCCTCATTGTTGATAATTTTTTTAAACAAATTGATTAAATCAATTGTTTTAAAAAAAAATTTCTAACTTTATTACATTACAAATATTATGATTGTTTAAAAAAAAAATTTCCTTAATAAATATTTTAATTGTTTATAATCGTTTTTTTATATTTCTATTGTTTAAATAATTAGTTAAGAAATTTTTTTCTAAAAAATAATTGAAGTCCTCTATAAAGTAACAAAAAAATTTTTTTTAATCAAATTCTATTGTTTATTAACTTACCAATTTGTTATAAACAAATGTTCAACTTTTATATTTTTTCTAAAACTTCTAAAATTAACAAAAACAAACATATACAAAGTCTATAAAAAAAAGAAAAAATTTTTTAATAAAAGTAATATTCATGATAATCAAAAAATTTAAAAAAATGTTTTTCTATATTTTGTTATATATGGTTGTTTTTGTTAATTTTAGAAGTTTTAGAAAAAAATAAAAAAGTTGAACATTTGTTTATAACAAATTGGTAAGTTAATAAACAATAGAATTGTTGATTAAAAAAATTTTTCTGTTACTTTATAGAGGATTGTGAATTATGATTAAAAAAAAATTTCTTAACTAATTATTTAAACAATAGAAATATAAAAAAACGATTATAAACAATTAAAATATGTTATTAAGGAAATTTTTTTTTTTAAACAATCATAATATTTGTAATGTAATAAAGTTTAGAAATTTTTTTTTAAAACAATTGATTTAATCAATTTGTTTAAAAAAATTATCAAATGAGGGAAATTTTTTTGCAAATCAATAAATATCTTGTATTAATATAAAAACGATAATATGATGATTTAGAAAAAAAATTTTTTAACAACATTACTTGATTTTTAAGTTTTTGTTTAATAAAAAATTTTATAAACAAAGTATAAATATTTCTTTAACTTTTATGGCACGATTTTTAAGTATTATGTAAGAAAGGCTCTACAAACGAAATATTTTTACGACCATTATTAAAACATTTTTTTCTTACAATTAAGACGGTCGTTCGAGAAAATTTCGTTAGTTAACAATTATTTAACTTGTTGAAAAATTAACTTTAAGTAAAATTTCAACGGAATAAATTAATTATAGTGTTCAGAACACACCATAATTTTTCAAATTTAAAAAAATATTCAATACCTTAAATAAATTAATTAATGTGCCGTAGTCGCTTTTGACGCCAGGCGAATCCTAAAAATGTCACGCACAGACCTATTTTCAGCGTTAAATTAAAGTTATAAATAATGGAGATAGAGTTCCGGAGCTGAGTTTTTATTGGAAATTTCCTCCTCTTTCAGAATCTTTATTTGAAATTTCTTAAATATTAATAGTTTATTAAATATTGGCAAAAACTAAATTCCATTTTTTTCATCTTTAATGGTCTATAACTTTTGCAATTTTTTATGTGCTAATACACGCTTTTAGCACTTTTCCCCAGGCGTCATTCCGGTTCGAATGAGCTATCGCACATAATTTTAAGAGCAGTATCTCTATTTTGTTCCATTTTCAACTGTCGACTAACTATAAAGCCTCGTATTCATGGTAAACATTTGTTTAGTTGATCAATGACTAGTAAGTAAGTTGCTGGAAAATTTTAAATCAATATACGTTGTTCCAAACACCAGTATACGATTAAATGTTGCCCAAGGAAGTATTGTTGTTGTGTTCTCTTTATCTGATGTATAGGATGCTTATGATTGAAACAGTTTTCAATTGCATTATTTAATCATTGCTCCACACTACTGCCATGTTTATAAACGGTGCTGTTGTCAACACTGCAACATGTTTGACGGCGCATCTGTCAACGTCAGACATCAGGTTGACTTTTAGCTGTCAAAGTCAGCCTAGCGAAGCGTCATTGTCGATGGTTGTGAGAGCGGCCATCTTGACACACGGTTGTTCGAGACGGCACTCGCACACCACGCTTGTGACGAATCGCTTTGCATACGAGTGATAGTTTAATCTAGTGTTATAATTAAGTTGATGTCGTGTTGCTTAGACTGTACATTGCTCATTTGACTGTGTATTTCGATTATTAAACCCTGTGCTGATTAAACAACTGTAATTGTAACAAGGACTTGTGATATTTCTGCTCCCGCCCACCTGCCTACCTACCTACCCACATACATCACACAAGATGAGTTTTGATGAAGGCTTTCCTGACCCTTCATGTTGATTCAACATTGTTGCCAAACAATGTTTACCATAAACACGAGGCTTTCAATGCGCACATAGACATAAACACAGCTCTATTAACTTATATATCTTATTTGACTTAGAGTTTCCAGGAAAAGATCCTTTAGGAGCGAGAAAGCCATTGAATACTACAACTAATTTGAAATGTTGACCCTTCATGATAAAGAGCTTATACTAAAGCAATTATTGTTTCGCAGGAAATCGAACTTCAATCTTTCGGGCTTATAATATGCATATGATGATCTTACCAATATGTTCCTTTTCAAAATTTACATCCAAATTGATTTCATTCGACGAGTCGCCGGCAGAATCCTCCGAATCAGTTCTGTCTTCCACTGAAAATTTAAATAAATATTGTTGCATAGAATGATATCAATAGTACATAGAGACAAGTGTCAATAATCATACAACATGTATAAACTATCTGTCAATGTCAAGTGCTAACTAAAGCTCAAACGGTCCATTAATCTAGATCAGAAATTTATTGTCTAATTTTTAAAAAAATAATATTAAATGGGTACAAGTATTTATCTAGAGTCAAGATAAAAATACAATAAGCAATTACTTAGATCTTAGATTCAGATCTTGATCTTGGACGTTTATTTAGGTGAGACAGGAGGAGGGGGGCTAGAAGAAGGGGGAAGAGAGGGTCGAAGTAGGTAAAGAGCATTGGGAAAGTATTAGTTCCTAATAAAAAAAATAAATTAGTCTCATTGCACTCATTCTTCGTCTCTATCTGATAAATTGTGTTTACGCTATGATGAAAAGGGTCAGGTGAGTACTACACTTAATTAATGAAATGGCGACCTAAATATATTTGTTTCCACGCTTACGACGTTTATTCAACCACTTTTTTATCAGATAAGGGGCCAAACGGGCCCATGTGCTTGGTGGGTACTTTTAGGTATACAACTTCCCCTCCCCTTCTTTTAATTTAAAGGCCGTATCTTCCAGCACTGAAAGCCGATTCCACAGTAAGTTAATTTGTAAGGCATAGAGAAGATTGTGGAAGATTTCGTTTCTTTCACTAATCGTGGAGTTAGTAGGTACTGTACAATTTTTCATATAGAAAAACGGCAGTGCCTTTATAGTGTGGGAGAGTATTTAGACCATAAGTTTTGAGAACAATTATAAATATCTTCAGCGTTCTTATAATTACATTATGATAATTAACATGATATTATATTAGGTCCTTCAATTAAAAATTGGGTTTTTTGTGGGGGAAAAACAAAATCTTTTTTTTTTTTTTATTTTTTTTTTTTTTATCCAAAAAATGACCCCTTTTTTTTCCCCCCCCCCCCCCCCCCCCCTTGGGTTTTTCCCTCCCCCCCCCCCAAAAAAACCGGGCCGGGATCAATTTTTTTTTGGGGGGGGTGGGGCCCCCCCCCCCCCCTTTTTTTTTTTTTTTTCCCCCTGGCCTTTTTTTTCCTTTTTAATTTTTTTTTTGTTGGGGGGGGGGGGGGGGGGGGGGGGGGGGGGGTTTTCCCCCCCCCCCCCCCCCCCCCCCCCCCTTCCCCCTTGGGGGGGGGGGGGGGGGGGGGGGGGTGGGGGGGGGGGGGGGGGGGGGGGGGGGGCCCCCCCCGTTTTCCCCCCCCTCTTTTTCCCCCCCCCTTTTTTTCCTTTTTTTTTTTTCCCCCCCCCCCCCCCCCCCCCCCCTTTTTTCCCCCCCCCCTCCCCCCCCCCCCCCCCCCCCCCCCCCCCCCCCCCCCCCCCCCCCCTCTTTTTTTTTTTTTTTTTTTTTTTTTTTTTGGGGGGGGGGGGGGCCCCCCCCCCCCCCCCCCCCCCCCCCCCCCCCCCCCCCCCCCCCCCCCCCCCCCCCCCCCCCCCCCCCCCCCTCCCTTTTTTTCCCCCCCCCCCCCCCCCCCCCCCCCCCCCCCCCCCCCCCCCCCCCCCCCCCCCCCCCCCCCCCCCCCCCCCCCCCCCCCCCCCCCCCCCCCCCCCCCCCCCCCCCCCCCCCCCCCCCCCCCCCCCCCCCCCCCCCCCCCCCCCCCCCCCCCCCCCCCCCCCCCCCCCCCCCCCCCCCCCCCCCCCCCCCCCCCCCCCCCCCCCCCCCCCCCCCCCCCCCCCCCCCCCCCCCCCCCCCCCCCCCCCCCCCCCCCCCCCCCCCCCCCCCCCCCCCCCCCCCCCCCCCCCCCCCCCCCCCCCCCCCCCCCCCCCCCCCCCCCCCCCCCCCCCCCCCCCCCCCCCCCCCCCCCCCCCCCCCCCCCCCCCCCCCCCCCCCCCCCCCCCCCCCCCCCCCCCCCCCCCCCCCCCCCCCCCCCCCCCCCCCCCCCCCCCAAAAAAAAAAAAAAAAAAAAAAAAAAAAAAAAAAAAAAAAAAAACACCCCCACCACACCCCCCAAACACCCCCCCCCCCCCCACCCCCCACCCCCCCCCCAAAAACCCCCCCCCCCCAAACCCCCCCCCCCCCCCCCCCCCCCCCCCCCCCCCCCCCCCCCCCCCCAACCCCCATATTTGCCTATTTTTATATTACTGATTGTGCGTTTTTTTATAATTAATAAATCTGAATGACACTTTGCAAATAAACGATTTATTATTATTATATTTAATTTTTTTTATAGAATATAGGGGCAAACGGGCAGGAGACTCACGTGATCTTAAGTGATACCGCCGCCCATAGACACTCTCAATGAGGGCTCGCGAGCGTGTTGCCGTCTTTTAAACAAACTATATGTATATATTGTATAGGACCGTGAATAATCTTACCATTAGACTCCATGATCACTTTGTTCTTAGTATTGGGCGATAATTTATCCTGTGCGTCACGTAACATCTTCTCTCCAGTTATTATGTTATCATACACATTCCACAGACGACGAACCACTTCTGGAAAAAAAAATTTGTTGTTTTTTATACATAAAACCTGGGACCGTGAAGAATACGTATTGATTTTTATATTTACCAGTGAGAGATGTGTTAGAATGCGCAGGCGCAGTAAGCGCTAAGTGGATTTGTTCCATGTGTTGTTTGAACACGCTGTATTCACGCTCTGCGTCGCCATCACCAACGCTTAATGTTTCATGGCCTGAAAAGGAGAATAGTGTTGCCATTCAATTTATTTAACCATGCGTATTTAACAGCTGCTAATTTTGCAAGCAGTTTTTGCGAGTTTTTTTTTTTTTTTTTTTTTTATGTAATAGGAGGCAAACGGGCAGGAGGCTCACCTGATGTTAAGTGATACCGCCGCCCATGGACACTCACAATGCCAGAAGGCTCGCAAGTGCGTTGCCGGCCTTTCAGGAATTGGTACGCTCTTTTCTTGAAGGACCCTAAGTCGAATTGGTTCGGAAATACTTCTGTGGGCAGCTGGTTCCACATAGTGGTGGTGCGCGGCAAAAACTGCCTTAGAAAACGCTCTGTTGTGGAACGACGGACGTCGAGGTGATACGGATGGTATTTTGTATTTTGCCTTGACGTCCGATGATGAAACTCAGCTGCAGGTATTAGACCGAACAACTCCTCTGAACACTCTCCATGGTAAATGCGGTAGAAGATGCAGAGAGATCCCACATCTCTACGCAACGCCAAGGGATCAAGCCGCACGGAAAGTGACTGGTCGTCGACGATTCGAACCGCTCTTCGTTGAATACGGTCAAGTGGAAGGAGCTGGTACTGGGGCCAAGGGCGGATCCCCCCCTCCCCCCCCGAGGGGGCCCCCCCCCCCCTCCTCCCCCAAAACCCTTAATTTTTTTTTTTTTTTAAAAAAAAAAAAAAAAAAAAAATTTTTTTTTTTTTTTTTTTTTTTTTTTTTCCCCTTTTTTTTTTTTTTTTTTTTTTTCCCCCCCCCCCCCCACCCAAAAATTCCTTTACAAAAATGCCCCCCCCCCCCCCCCCCCCCTTTTTTTTTTTCCCCCCCCCCCCCCCCCCCCCCCCCCCCCCCCCCCCCCCCCCCTTTCCTTTTTTTTTTTTTTTTTTTTTTTTTTTTTTTTTTTTTTTTTTTTTTCCCCCTGTCTTCCCTTTCCCCCCCTTTTTTTTTTTTTTTTTTTTTTTTTTTTTTTTTTTTTTTTTTTTTTTTTTTTTTTTTTTTTTTTAAAATACACCCCCCCCCCCCCAAAAAAGCGGCCCCCCCCCCCATAAAAATTTTTTTTTTTTTTTTTTTTTTTTTTTTTTTTTTTCCCCCCCCCCCCCCCCCCCCCCCCCCCCCCACCCCCCCCCCCCCCCCCCCCCCCCCGGGGGGGGGGGGGGGGGGGGGGCGGCCCGCCCCCCCCCCCCCCCCCCCCCCCCCCCCCCCCCCCCCCCCCCCCCCCCCCCCCCCCCCCCCCCGGGGCCCCCCCCCCCCCCGGGGGGGTTTCCCCCCCCCCCCCCTTTTTTTTTCTTTTTTTTTCCCCCTTTTTTTTTTTTTTTTTTTTTTTTTTTTTTTGTTTTTTTTTTGTCTTTTCCCCCTGGGGCCGGGGGGGGGGGCCCCCCCCCCCCCCCCCGGCGGCGCGGGGGGGGGGGGGGGGGGGCCCCCGTGGGGGGGGGGGGCCCCCCCCCCCCCCCCCCCCCCCCCCCCCTTTTTTTTTTTTTTTTTTTTTTTTTTTTTTTTTTTTTTTTTTTTTTTTTTTTTTGGGGGGGGGTCTTTTTTTTTTTTCCCCCCCCTTTTTCTCCCCCCCCCCCCCCCCCCCCCCCTGGGGGGGTGGGGGGGGCTTGGGGGTGTTGCCCCCCCCCCGGCCCCCCCGGGGGGGGGGGGACTGGGGAGCTCCCGCCCAGAGGTGAGAGCAGTACTCCATATGGGGCCGAATTTGCGCTTTATATAGTTGCAAGCGGTGGCCCGGAGTGAAGTACCGTCTCGCCTTGCTGAGCACACCAAGCTTTTTGGAGGCTAATTTAGCCTTTCCTTCCAGATGACCGCGAAACTGAACGTTATTCGATATGAAAGTTGAGTGCTACCAGCTACGATTAATATAAATTTGTATGAAAATTTGTCGACACGAACTGTAATTTTTATACAAATTTCGTTTTCGAGTTTCTACATACACTACTGTTACCTTGAATAGCCCCCAGTAAACATTTTTTGATGTGAAACATCTATAGCCGCACGTAAAACCGATTTCTGGCGTGCCGACGCGTCGTTACGCTATATGATGGTATAGATATACAGTCTATATACAGTAGTGTGTACGGTGTGTGTTTTTCGAAGTCACTGATTAAACGAATTAAGTAGTCACGATTTGAAATTCGTAAATTTTTGTATTTAATTTAAATAAATGTTTATTCAATAAATAGTCATCGTTATGTGGAAAAAAGTCGTAATATTTTATTTTATCATTATGACATATTTAGTTCCTATCACAATCTGTTCTTATCTGCATATTACTTTTACAAAATAATGTCGATGTTTCACATCTGCCAAACGTCCCGTGACGGCTCACATTTTATTTTTATTTTTAAATGTTAACCTAATAATGGAACTGAATTTTAACTGACTTTGCTAAGCAGCTTACGTAGTTTTATTCAAAAATAAATTTCATTTTGCTTCAGAAAATTCTTGATTCAAAGTAGAATCTAACAAATTCGTGACCAATAAGGCGAGTCCCAGCTGAAGGACTTTCGGCTACGTGTGCATATCCTTCGTACGGTGAATTGATTATGAAGAAAACGGCGTTCCTTAGACCCAATATGTCTGCATGTCGGGCACAGAAGACTAAATAAGAAAATAACCACGACAAACGTGTGAAAAATTCGAATCAGTACAAAATGAATATTAAAATAATCTTACCTTTAAGCATAAGTTCGTTTAAATGCGCTATCAGCGAGTCCCGCATCAGTTTTGTGTCATAGTCGATCGAAATAACGTCTGGTGGCAGCTGGATATCGTATGTTTTTATCTTATTGTACCTAAAAAATCGTTGTTTGTAAAGTCGGTTAACGGACGATAACGGTTTAACGTGACAACGTCATAACAAAATATTGATGAAATGATTGCATAATTGTCCTCGAGTGGAAGAGAGATAGGTGCGGCGAAAGCGTACATGAGCGTAACGGGACAATGAGTCATGCTTTTTCGTGCGTGCAGCCGGCGTTCATCGATTTATTAGACGTTGTCACGTCAAAAATATCATAAGGTTGATAACACCTAAGGTTGCCAAACACCTAAGCTTATAAGAATGTCATTAATCCATACTTTCTCATTTCTAGAGCCTATAAAACACCCAAATGTTCAACAATTCGATACAAAGGTACATGTATAGATTATATAAGACACAATTTTACGCTGCAAAGAAAGAATTAAAAAAAACATTGTTATGACTGCATAGTACGTGATAAAATATCAAGTACGCTTAAACTAACTAGACTTTAATAAAAGAAAAATAACGGAAAATTTCTGTAAAAAAACTTAGTGAGCAGTCCTTAGTCGTATTTGGAACTAAACGTAAAGAACGAACATGCATTATATACAAATACTATCGTAATGTTCATGATAAAACATGTTTCATGCGATCGAGATAGTAATAAGATCTAAATAAAAATTAAACCAATTTGATTAAAGCACTCATTTGTCTCTTTTCATCCCAGTGTACACACCATTTGACAGAAAGGGACAACATACTATTTCAATAAAAGCTCACTTTAATTAATAAGGGGAATATTCTACTGGAAAAGAGAACACATACACATTACATAGAATACATTTCCCTACATATAAGACACATAAGGCTCACCTGAAACAGGCAGTAGTGAGTCGAGTAACGAACGCGTGGGAATGTTTGTTTAGCGGGTGCGTGCACAACTTGCGTCCGTAGCGCGGTGCCGCGACGCGCTGTCGCACGTACTGGGCCAGAGACAGCCCTAACGCCGACCGGGACAGTGGCACGCCACGGGATATTATCCCACACGCTTCGCAACGGGACCAGAACATTACCTACATCATATTCCGATATATTACAGTATACATTAGGGTAGCAGGGATACTATGGTATTATGGTAGTAGCAGTTATACTATAGTATTAGGGTAGTATCAGTTATATTATGGTATTAGGGTAGTATCAGTTATATTATGGTATTAGGGTAGTAGCAGTTATATTATGGTATTAGGGTAGTATCAGTTATATTATGGTATTAGGGTAGTATCAGTTATATTATGGTATTAGGGTAGTAGCAGTTATATTATGGTATTAGGGTAGTATCAGTTATATTATGGTATTAGGGTAGTAGCAGTTATATTATGGTATTAGGGTAGTAGCAGATATATTACGGTACTATGCTAGTTAGTAGCACTAGTAGAATCTCAACGCACCGACAATTTCTGCCCGTAAACTGTTCTTGATGTAATCAATACATGCCACCTAAATTATTGAAAACAAATGACGCCGGTGTCAAATTAAACAAATGTTTATTTTGGTTACTAAGCTTACGACATCACACAGTACTAAATCTATTAATTATTTTACAAAATCTTACATCTACTTATGAGCGTAGATTATGCAATGCAAAATTATCAGTCAGAAAATAATATAAAAATTGATAAATAAAAACAAATATTAGTTAAAATCATTCTTTAAAGTTAACCACCGATCATTAACTAAAGTCTTCCGCAGAATTAATCAACACAATGAGTCGTATAAGATTTAGCAGCTAAATATCGCTAATAATCACTTCGCGTACCATAATGAACCTTATGTCATAGAAATAGGGTCTAATTTGTATATTTTTTTATAAAAACAGGCGTCTCACGGGCTGGAGGTTCACTCTATGACATTCGATTGCCCATGGACACTTACATTGCCATAAGGCTCGCAAGTGCGTATACCTGCTTATTTTGATCCTCCCTTGTTTTGTCCACATTGCTGTGTCCAATTGTGTTGCATGTTATCGTTATACACACGTCGCCATGGACGAATCTGAAATAATACGCAAAAAAACTCTCTATTAATTAAAAAAAATATCGGAATTAAGTATCTTAAATAGCCTATTTAAGTAACTTAAATTGGCTACAATTAAATATAGAAGAATTAAAGTTACTAAAAATCTGTATAGGTTAAAACATTGATAGCCCGCTGAGTACGGGGGTTTTGCAATTGTTTGGCTTAAGCACTAATAAAAGGAAGGATTCCTTCTGAATCTCTCTCTCAATCTGGATCTCTCTGAATGCATATTTCAATAGATATTTATAAAAATATTATACTATGATTTTTGTACAAACGAACTAACTTCGAATAAAAATGCGTTCCCTAACTTTTGACTTCATTTTTTTTTTTTCAATTTTAACACGACAAGCTAGCAAAAACAATCGCAATACATATTTCCATCATATATAACTATGTTCAATACCTGCGTATATGCTGGTTCATAGGCACATGACAGTTGGGTGATGGACATTTGTGGTCTGGGTTGAAGCAGTACTTCTCTAGAAACGCACCCAAAGATATATCGTGACGACCGTACATCTCCATCGTCACTATCCTAGAATTGAAACCCATTTGACAATCCATACAACTCCTCTCTAAATGCAAAAATAAACGACGATTTTCAATTTACTTCTATTAGAAATTTAACCTTGTAGCGTAGTTAGACGTGCGCCCTAAACCTTGAGTTTGAATACCGGATGTAATTTATGGGGGATTTTTGAAGTGAAAACTTCTTTAGCGGCGTTGTACATTTTTTTTGGAATGGTTAAAAAATGTTAAACTCGCGTCAGGACACGTGACCTGATCGAAAATTCGTAAGACGGATGGAGAGAAGACAGCTGGCGCGGCGTATTTAATGTAATATAAATTGTCATGTTTGTGTAGGATAGCGCAATAAATAAATATTGTATTCTACCACATAAATGATAGTACTTTTATACTGATAATTAAAGCAATTCGTGCAAAATTATTCCCTAACCATTACAAAATATCAAAAATGCACAACGTTAATATTCAAGTTTTCACTTCTGCCGGCACTCTTGGAATGCAACCCGTAGTTTTTTTCTTATATGCAATTAACTTGTTTAGGTAAAGGAAAGCATATTGAAGAAAGCTTCATATCTAGAATAAGATTTAGTTTCGAGACATACGGGAGTACCTAGCTAAATGTTGACTCTGAATTGAGGTGCCCAGAATTTGTGTATCAGACTGAAGGCATCCTGTCTATTAAGAGGAAAACATAAGGAAATCTTAGGCTAAGACCAAGAGATGATATTTTTTTCTTTCATCTGTTATGCATAGACTGAGGCGCGACTTTCCACAAACCCAACGGTACCTTCATACTACGTTTAAGAGGGTACTCATTAATAATATAAATAAAACTTAAAAAAAAAACATCAATAATAATTAAAAAAATATCAGTGACAATTTAAAAAATATCAGTAACAATTTAAAAAATATAAAAAATAATTTAAAAAATATCAGTAAAAGAATTTAAAATATATCAATAATAATTTAACAAACATCCATTATAATTTAAAAAATATCAATAGTATGTCTGATACGTGATCATAAGTCAAATAAACCAAGTATAATTAGGTTAACTTACCAGGGATTTACACAAAAATCTGGAACATTGGGCGACTTATTGCAATAACTATACAACAATAAACTCAGTCTCTGATGGTTTTCTGGGTCCAAGGGGTCCAAGGACTCTGATTCCTTCTTTTTGTTTGTCTCTACCTCACTCAGTACCGGCTTAACAACCGATGGACTGTATTTCGGACATTCCGCTGAAAATATATTTTTCTAGATCAACTTTTAACGTTTCTAAGATGGCAATTTTCTGGCTAATTTGTCTAGTAGTTAGCATATTCAACTGAAAAAGTAGACCTGAGTTCGAATTCAAAAAAATAAAAGTAGGGTATTGAGAAATTTTAAAAACATCCTTATAACTTCGGAACTTGACGGTATTTGGACTATTTTGGATAAGCACACAAAGCTGCGACAAGTCTTGTTTTTTAATAACTTCTTTTACTTCTCATATATGTTGAAAAACTGTATTGACGTATACGATTAGTATTGATATCTTTTCTTACGTTTATGTTTATCAGCAACAAGCCGGCAACCAGTCGCTCTGAAGTTAGCAAGCATTCGTTTTACAGATAAATCATCGGCCGGTGCTGTTATCGCTTGCTTCACGAAAGGGTGGGGCTCCTTAATCAAAATCACTGATTTTAATACCCTATCATGTGCGTGCTAATTATTAATTATAATACATGAAAAAAATTGTTAATTTTCACACTTTGCACATAATACATATTATTTGAAATAATAAAATAAATAAATCATTTAGGTCTGGGCCTCATATTTATGTATCAGTATTATGATCAATTGTAGGTTGATCAAGGCCTCCTGTTCCTGACACTCTTAGACTTTTAGGTCTATGGCAAGCCCATTTCCGAGATAAAGAAAAAAGCCAAATAAATAAATTAAATCTATTAGGAAATATAAAATGTGTAGATCAAAACTATAATACAAACACGAGTTGTCTTATTAATAATAAAAAAAATATAGAAAATAAATAATAAAACCTATTCATTATTTTATGGGTCGGAAGGTAAGCGAGCAAGCAAGTCAACTTTGAAATAAAGTACTGACGGACGCCCATGGCCACCTGCGCCTCCGCGTCATCTTGCGGGTGTTACCCACGTTTATTATTAAGGTAACTTTTTTAAGAAAAATAATTCAAAAATAATTGTGTTAGCTTCTGTTGGTGTAACGAAGTCCTAACAAATGTACCAAATCTTGACGAAGATACCTACTGCTAGAAGCTTACCTTGAGCTGTGTTTCCACCGGCTTAGAATCCACCTGTTGCCTCAATTCCCGTGGGGTATGGGGGGGTTGGGGCCGAATGGGCCTAGGCGGGGCAGGAATCACGATGTTAGGCGACATCGATAGCACCACGTCATCGGTACACCACCTGAAAAGTGTTGCTTTAACTTTAAATTTTGTGATAAATTTACAATTATTTATGAACTGAAATTATAAATTTCTTATGCAAATTACGCTATCTATTGACACATTTCGGTGTTATCTGAATTTCAAATATTGGTTAGGGTTACAAAGTTTTGACGTGACAACGTCTAATAAATCGATGAACGCCGACTGGACGCACGAAACAGCATGACTCATTGTCCCGTTACGCTCATTGTACGCTTGCGCCGCATCTATCGTCCGTAATCAGACTTTACAAACAACAATTTTTTTAAAGATATTAATTTCTGATTAAGAACAGTACAACATGAGAAAATATACAAATTCAATAATACATTACGCGTATTAATTAATTGTATATGTATTACAATAGTAAAAAAAGTACAACAGCAGACAAGAAACAGAAGACTTACTAGTTAAAAATACAGCAATTACAAATTACAACACAAAAAGGAAAATAAGATAAAACAATACAAAGAAACGACAACAATGAATAATAAATAGAAGAAATTAAACATTTTGTTTTTACAAATTATTTTAAAGTCTATTGAGAATTACAGATTAACTGCTACCATTCAACTCACCTTTCAGCTTTCGTATCAGCCTTTAACTCAGCTTCGACTGGTAGAAACACATCATCCTCCATTGACACAGTAGACCTCAGTGGATCACTGAAATCCTTAATCGGAACTCCACAACTAAGGTTTTTATCACTATCCATTTTACGATATTGTTTCTTCAGCGGATCCTCAATTTCTTTAACTTCAATTTTTGTTTCAGATTCATTTGATTGATCATTTTCTTCATCTTTTACATCACTATCCACTTTACTTTCTTCAACTTTGATATCGTAATTAATTTTCCCATCAAAAATATCACTATCATCAGATCCATTTGTCTTAATCCTTTCCAAAACAGCTTCACCAACTTCGATGTCTTTTTCAACAGTTTTGGTTTCGATTGGCTCTTCTATAAAACTCATGCCTGGTTCTGGCAATACAGCTTCAATGTCCCCTAAGAAAGCCTTTTCCAATTTCCAGTTATAGCACGCAAGAAGGATGAATTTCGCTACTTTTTTTACACGTGTTAGTTCTTGTTGAGTGCCACCACGTAGTAAAATACAGCATCCCAAATTAGGTTCGGCGCAGCCTTCTAAAACCATTAAGGTTTTACTAGAATCTGGAATGGATTGCAGTAAAATATCATAACCAAAAAGATCTGGGATAATAAAAGAACGCAGATATTCTTATTAATAACTTGAGTGCCCTATGTATTTTAACTGGAAACATTATATAACCGTGATTAAATATTTATGAAATAAAGTTTCGTTATGTTACCAATTAAATAATGAATAAATAATAGCATAGTATTTAAATATTTATTAGTAATAGAAATAATTAATATAATTTTACATTTGATAATGACATACATTAAACAAATATTTTTACATAAACTCAATAATTTATATTTTTAGTCAAAAAAAAACAATAAAATTATTAAGAACGAACGTATTAAATCATGCGAAGATTTACACAGTAAATACTACAAACAAGAGGGTTGCCAACTTAATATTATTAACATTGACAATTTAGACAACATGAAAATATAATGGGCGTTCTCATTCACTAATAAATTCAATATGTAGAAAAGTTCTAGATTTCCATATTAATTATTTTTACCGATATTTGAAAACGATTGTAGGTAATTCATGTATAATAGTTGACCAGGAGTCATTTAACTTTATTAAGGACAACTAGAGACCGAAGATAACTATCTTAAATAAAAATGAATAATACTTACAATTTTTAATACTAAAATTCTTGCATGTACCAAGTTTGGGCATGCCAATGCGTGCATCAATAGACGCGACAAGATCCGCGCGTGCGCATCGCGACACACGACGTAACGTTCTATCGCGCACTCCTATTGCCAGAGCCACACCTAAAATAATAGGAACTATATTCATACTAGGTTTTCAATCTACTGTAATCTTTTTTTAACCAATAATTAAGGTAACTAACTAAATAATAGAATATTTGTTAAATATTTATGTGTCGAAACAAATCATTTTCTTGACTCGCTTCTTAACCACTTAAGTAGGTATACCAAATCCATCACCAAAATCAAACCATTTTTGTGACAAAATAATTCCTGCCAATACCGCAAAATAACCGAGCCGGCTCTCAGTTACCGCACCTGATTTGAAACTCGGTACTTCAAAACAATTCATTCAACAGGAGTAGATAAATTGAATGAATAAAAATATTCATATCTCTCCCGTAATGTAGGGAATCTCTGAGAGATAAATTCAAGGAAATTAATATACTTACCTTTCCCTCGCAATATATTTATGAAAATAGTATGTATGTATACAAAAATAGTGATAAGTTTACTAGAATAGAACATACGCACAATGTTAATACTCGGAACAAACGCAAGGCTGCAATTTCCCCGTACTAGACTATCTAAAGTTAATTATTTTTTGGGAAAAGGGATACTCTTCTTTAATAAAATCCCAGAGGCTCTTTTATCTCTGCCTTTTAATAAATTTGCCGATGAGTAGGGATGCCTACAGATTCAAATTTAATGACGTGGAATAAGTGATACCTGTATCTTATGTTCCATAATAAATATATTTAATTGAAACCCTTTAATTCGCCTACGAATTACTATCGGAAACACTACATTGGTATTAATTGCAGCGTACGATATATAGAATAACTGTTGCGATATTAATTATATTAATAAAGCCATAATGTATCTCACCCTGTTCCCTCAACGCATCCTGTACGCCGCGTGCGACGCCCCCCCTTAACGAGCACAACGCGCGGGCGCAGGGCTGATATGCGCGCGGCACATCGTACTAAATATTCTTGTTCCTGTAATATAGCAGAATAATATCAAAAAAAACCCGAGAGCTGACGAAAATCATTATATTTTTTTAAATTTATCATTTAATGAAATTTTACCAGTTTTAATGTGTTCCTTTGTGTTTGATCAATAAAATTATGATTACCATACTAATATATTCAGAGCACAGATTAACATTACCTGCATCAGGACAGGCTCCAACGAGGTAAGTTTCCCCTCAACCCGTTGGTACGCGATTGAACAGTCGAGGAGTAATACAGTGGGGTTTGTTATCTGCCGAGGCATTCCTCTGTTAAAAAATATTAACTTAAAATAGCATTATACAAACAACTTATAAGGTGTTATTTGCATGCATGAAGTGGGGTCTTCAAAAGAGCGTGCCAATTCTTACAAGGCAACGCACTCGCGAGTTTTCTGGCGGGGTATCACTTAAAATCAAAAGATTATTTTAAAATATTAAGTATGAAGTTTATTCCCCATTCTTCTCCATATGAAACTAACTTTTAGAAGTGGCAACTCATTTTTTTAATTTTAAACCTGTTATTTTGACTTTCAAATGGGCCTTTTCTAATATGCCTTATTAAAATGATATAGCCATTGGATTCATTAAAATTATCAAACGGGAGAACCGAAAGAAAAATAATCAGTGGCGCTATAACTGTTTATCTCTGGACCTTAGATTTTTGTATCTGTTCCGTGATATTTTTTTTTAATTGTCAAGTAGGTGATCACAAATGGCTTATTATTATATTATATGCCTATACATAGACAGAGAGTCCTTTGATGTTCAGCTGGGGTTTGAACCAGATTGTCTGAGTCTCAGAAAGATTGCACAAACACTACTCAGAACAGATAAACTTAAATTAGCTGATTTTTTTCTGAGTTTGACCGTAATGTAACGTTGGGTGACGTCACCCATACGTTGTCTATAAATAACATCGGAGTAGGTTTTCTAGAGAACGTTGAACGTTATCATTTGCATGACGGCCGTCATAGCGGTGATAAACAGTACTTCAATGTTTTTCGCCTGTAGCGGTGCGCATATTTAATTAATACAATGACTTGGACGAGTGAAAATGATGAACAATTAATTGATTTTGTTAAAAATCATGAAGCTTTGTACAATATCAAATCCAAAGAGTACAGACAAGCTCAGATGTAGCAAAACTTGTGGAACGAAATTGGAATAACACTTCAAAAATACGGTCGCACTACTTTCTAGGAAACCACAGCTTGGCCACCGTAAATAACGGCCGTTACGGCACCGCTTTTCTAGGAATCGTAGCTTAAGAAGCCAAGTCCCATATAGGGTCCCAATGGGTTATTTTATTGAATAGTTTTGAAATAAATACATACCTATGCACAACATTCTTGGATATAACTACGCCAGGTACAACCACACTGTCTCGTTTCTCCCCACCGGGGACTTTCTTTACTTGGACGTAGTTTCGTACGTCTATGTCAGCGCCCATTAGGTCTGTTACAAAAGTTAAGATTGACTTACCTATTCATATAATTTAATAGGCTATATTTCCATACACTCGTGATTATAACTCGAAAACTTTATAGGGATTTCAAAGTAAGAATACACATTTCTTAACAAACTATACAAAATCAAAAGGATCATCTCGCTATGAATTAGTTTACGAAGTTAGTTAGTTAGTTTACAAAGGTAGTTAGTTTACAAAGTTAGTTAGTTTACAAAGTTAGTTAGTTTACAAAGTTAGTTAGTTTACAAAGTCAGTTAGTTTACAAAGTTAGTTAGTTAGTTAGTGAGTTTACGAAGTTAGTTTACAAACATTTATCCGATTTTGGATCTATAGAGAATAGATCATACTCAAATATACAACTCCTCCAATATCATACACATTTAGGTCAAACTACTTCTTTATTTAGTCGGTTTATTTAATCCAATACGAGAATAGGAAACTCTAATCAATTCTCAATTAATGAAGACAATTTTTTCAACAACTTGGCATTAAGTGAACTACGAGTGACCAACAGAAACATTTGTAGGATATGTAAAGTTAGTATTTTTGTATTAACAAAACAAAATGCTCTAACATAGTATGTCCTGACAAGTTATTGTAATAAATTGTGTATACAGTAGAACCACTTTTCGTTTGTAGCAGGAATGTCTGAGTACAGTATAAGTATTATATTACCAGACTTAAATTTAAATATCTCAAAAGCTATCAAAATTGTATTTACCTGGTGCAGTAATATTAGCGGCGTGTACACAGAGCGGATACAACACGTCAGCCCAGCTAGAACATAGAGCCTGACGCGCGAGGCATTGGCGTAGTAGCAGCTTTATATGTTCCACTCCTGATTCCTCTATCGCTTTACATATAGGCCGCACTTCGCTTCCTTAAGACATTTTTTTTTTAATATTTAACTTAACAACATAGCTTATTTATCTGTCCTTTAAACGCAAATTTAAGAGTACAGCGCGGTATGATGTTTGAATGTTTTTAGAAATTTCTAAGAAATTTAATACATAAATAGAAAGAATTTGACGTAATTTTTTTTGTTCAGTGTTGAAATTAAATCATGAAAAATATTATTTAATGAATTGCATTTTTAACGCTATGCATAAAGGTGTATTTTACATGCACAATTTAATACATATTCTGCTACTACACATTTTTTTGCTTTGGCTAAACCACATTTTATACAGTGCATCGTTAATTGAACAAATAATACTCACTATCATCGTTTTCTATAACCAATGGTTCCTCTTCTGGTGTCTCAACTGCCGGTTCTGAAATAAAACCAATTTTAAAATATTGGGATAATTGGGAAAATTACAAAATATTCAACTGTACGACAACGTACGACATTAATATCACTATTGTAACGGACACAATATTCCTATACTTCACCTCTTTTAGTAGACTTTCTAAGTCGCGCTGAACTATCGCCTAGATTCAGATCTAGACAATAAGAAGACACACTCTCAACCAATCTGGTCGTTTCGGCTTCTTCATTGTTCTCATCAGCTGAAAGAACCAATAAAAACAATCAAACTAAATCTACTTTCAAATGCCGCCAAAACATTAAATCTGTATAAAGTTTGACTTATTTGACAGTGCTAGATGTCGTATATATTACTTGAGACGTCAGGTTCGGTGCAGACCAAATTCAGAGGCCGGTAGAGGCCATAATCAGCGAAATGTGGTGGATCAGTCACCTGCTCCATATAGCCTTGTTGTAAGAGACTCTGACAGAACATTGACGCCTGGGCCCTGGATAAAAATATTTTGTCTTTATCTGCGTAGATCCATTATAAAATATGGACAAAAGACCTCTTAAGTAAGTGTTTGAACAATAATATTCATGTGAATTTTATTTTAGTATAATACTTTTTTAAAGTATATTATTAGAAAGCAGGTCACGAAACGGTGGGTAGGTAAAATTAATTTATGTTCCATCAATTTTAGAATTAATTTTTCATAAGTAGATATCGCTGTCAGGGATTCTTCCCTGACAGTCGTAAAAGCCAAATCTATTTTTTTTCAGGAAAAATAAAAGACGGTAGTGCTATTATTAGGATACTAAGAACATTACATAAATAATAAACTTTGCCACGATATAGTGAGGATATTTAGAACAAGATATTAAGAAACTACGATCTTTGGGGTATTTCTGTAAAAATAATTATAGCATAATTGATGTAATTGCTCCCCATCTAGCTATAATTTTCAACAATTGTATTAAAAGTGGCAGTTTCCCGATCTAATGAAACATAGTAAAGTTATTCCTTTATTTAAAGCAGGTAGTATGTCCGACCCCAGTAACTTTAGACCAATTTCCGTACTACCTACTTGTAGTAAAATATTTGAAAAAATTATATTAAATCAACTGGTAAGTCATTTTAACGTAAACAAATTATTACATAATAATCAGTTCGGTTTTACCAAGGGTCGCTCGACAGCCGATGCCGGTGTTGAGTTATATAGATATATAGTTAAGGCTTGGGAGGAGTCGCATGACGCTTTAGGTGTTTTCTGCGACTTATCCAAAGCATTTGATTGTGTCAACACGAGACCTTAATCGGGAAATCCCCACTATGGATCAAGAATACCGCACTGAATCTTCTGACTTCCTATTTACACGGAAGAACTCAGAAGGTTGAAGTGAATGGTAAGAGGTCCTCTGGGTCGGCAGTAGATATGGGGTACCACAGGGCTCAATTCTTGGCCTTTCCTCTTTCTGTTTATATAAATGATCTACCTTTCATGGTAGAGAGAAAACATCAGATAGTTTTGTTTGCTGATGACACGTCCTTGATTTTAAAATCAAACGACAAATAACAAATTTTGACGATGTGAACAATGCTCTGTCTTCGATTGTCCATTGGTTTAGTATGAATAACCTTCTACTTAATGCAAAAAGACAAAATGCATTAAATTGTGTGCAAAAAATGCAAGGGTTATGGATACTAGACCAATTATAAACAGTGAGGAATTGAATCTGGATGATACAACTGTATTTCTCGGAATCACCATGGATTCAAAACTTCAGTGGTCCCCTCATATTAATGGATTGGCGAAGAGACTTAGTTCTGCAGCCTACGCGGTTAAAAAAAATTCGCTCACTAACTGATGTCGATACAGCTAGACTTGTTTATTTTAGTTACTTTCATAGCTTAATGACTTATGGCTTATTATTATGGGGTCATGCTGCTGATGTCGAAACTATTTTCATCCTGCAGAAGAGGGCTATTCTCAATCTATAATTTAAAATGTAGGGAATCTCTTAGAGATAAATTCAAGGAAATTAATATACTTACCTTTCCCTCCAATATATTTATGAAAATATTATGTATGTATACAAAAATAGTGATAAGTTTACTAAAATAGAACATACCACAATTTAATACACGGAACAAACGCAGGCTGCAATTTCCCCGTACTAGACTATCTAAAGTTAGTAATTCTTTTTTGGGGAAAGGGATACTTTCTTTAATAAAATCCCAAGGCTCTTTTATCACTGCCTTTCAATAAATTTAAGAAATGTATTAAAGAAAAGCTGTGTAAAAAGGCTTACTATAAAGTCAAGATTATCTAGTTGATAAAAGGGCCTGGGACTAGTCTAGACAGGCTACTTCTAATCAATTTGCGATATTTGTTTTAAATAAGTGTTGTTTGATGATTTGCTGTTTTAAAAGAGTACCGAGAGTTTTTACCGGCTTTTTCTCTCGGCCTACACCCTCTGTCTTCTTGCCGATGAGTAGGGATGTTCAAATTTAATGATGGAATAAGTGATACATGTATCTTATGTTCCATAATAAACATATTTTATTTTTTATTTTATTTTACTTTTTAAGAACATTACATACTATACAAATATATATATCGAATTAAAGCTACTCGACTAATTAAACATTGTTATGTATTTCATGTAAATAGTTAGAAATAACTAAATGTACATTACACTAATTAATCTCATTTGACTGAAGGCCAAAAGCGTTTTACGAATGTTTGACTGTTTAATAATTATGGACGACACAGTAACCACTCATTACGACGGTAATTTTGACGAATGTCTAGAACGTAATAATTAATACCACTCTTCGCAGAATTATTATGGCCTTGGTGAAACAGAGATATATACGTATTATTACCACTCTTTATTTGTTTTTAAACTGTCGCATTAACTTTTATGATTATTTAGTAGAATTACAATGGTTTATAATGGTTTTATTTAATTATTATTCTTGCGATCTATTATTTATATGCGAGAAAAAAATCTGTGGCGCTACAACCTTTTTAGGTCTGGGCCTCAGATTTCTGTATTTGTTTCATGATCAATATGTATTTTGCCTTTTCCTGTTCGCTCGGTATAACGCGGAGGCAAAGTTTTAACCTCTAATAAATTAACGAGTCAGATTTAGGCCGATACCGTGTTTTTAACTGAAGTTATAATCATAAACGTACCATAGGGTTAGATGTTAACGCGTACTCATTATCTATTCTTAAGCGCGTCTATTCTAATTAGCACAGAATAAAAGGTATAGTTAGTTAGACTATTTTCATTTAATTAAAAACGGCAAAACAATATTTAAACTGTATGTACCTGGTTTTATTTGGGGTGTTTTCCATAACCCATTGTATGACGTCACATCCTCGCCATACGTTGCTATATCTCACTAAACGGTATCTGAAAGAAAAAAAAAAAGTTTAAAATCACGTATAGGTGACTACCAGAGCAAAATTATTTTTGTTTTTAATAAAAGTTTAATATAACTGCTGCCGGAAATCATTTTTAAAATAAACAAATTAAAAGTTATTTTTAAATTAAAAAGCTCTAATAATAATAATCCAGTGGCACTACTATGGTATTTGGCCTCAGATTGCATTCATTTCTTTGAAAGACAAGTAGGATCAACATTCTATCTCTTACATGTAGTTAATTTTGGACTTTCACCTTACTAGCCAGTGTTAGATGCACACATAGATAGAAAGTCCATTGGTACACAGATAGGGATTGTGCCTACAACCTCAGGCATTAGCCATTGAAGAAAACACTGCTTTAAATAATAAATAAAACTCTATTTGCAAATATTTCACCGTTGAGTATAAAGAGCTTTCTTCATATGGATTTAGTGAGAAGTAAAATCTGATTGGTATTCAAATCACATACCTATGATGTTGAGTTGGCAGTGAAAATGACAACTGTCTGTAGATATCATGTATATCTTTGGTGGAACTTTGCACTTCACAGTTCTCTTGCTCCCGGGCAAACATAAAGTCTCGATTACCCGTTGAGTTTGATTTTTTTTCTGGAAATTTCATCTGAAAGGAAAATACATTGGCATCATAATTATTGTACATCTAATTTATTCTATTCTGTAATCTTTAATATTTCATTGAATTTATCAGAAATACCTGAAGGTTTTCCTGTAACATTCGCAAGTCAGGATATATTTCACCAGTGATGTCATTTTCACGTAGATAGCTCAGTACTACATTACAACAATATGTACAAACACGCAAATCACCAGCACACCCAAAAATTTGGCCTACAAGAAAAGGATTTTTAAATGTTTAAAGACCAACGAGATATGAACATTTTAGCATTCAATTAACCTAGACTTATTAAGAGGAGAACAGACTATATATTAATTGAACTAATTAAAACCTGGCACACGTTGACTGCAACATCTTGAACAAAATATCTGTCCACATACTCTACAATGATGTCTACGACGTAATGCTCCAAAACGTGCTGCACATTCATAACATTCCCGTGATATATCATCTGGCATCCAATATCTTGCTAGATCTGTGTCAGCATATCGAGTGGCACTCTAAGAATTAAGATGATAGTAAAATAAGATGAATAAATATATTCTCACAAAATAAAACCATATTTACAAAGGCATAACTGTTCTTACTCCAGAACTGAAAACACTAATTTTTCTCATAACATTGAGCCCACTTTCAGTTGTCTGGCTGCATGAAGGATCATTTTTTAAATCAACTTCTTTCTTACTAGGATCCTCGAGCTGAGTATATTTATCATCACTCGACATTTTATCTTCCGGGTGATCGTCACTTTCGTTTGGAGAAAATAAGGGTAATTTCCATAGTTTATTAAAAAACATTGTTACGCCACTCTGATTAGATTCAGATTCAAAGCGCGGAAACTCTGTGAGTTGAGAACTATCGTTTTTATCCATTTTTATCTATACTATACAACTGAATATCATTTAAACTGATTATTTAATAAATAGCGAATTCAATTATTGTTTACAAAAGAAATTTCTCAATCATGAAACAAAACTGTAAGGAACTAAATTGAACAGCTGACATTCGGGTGACTTCTAATTGTCAAATGCAAGATATTTTTGTTGTCATAAATAAGATAATGCTAAATGTACTGGCAAATGGCAATTTGGCATTAGGTAAGTTGTCTGTTGTACTGAGGATTGAGACACTTTGAACTTGTGTAATTGTGTACCTAACGCCTGTAGCTTAATTTGTTTTATTAATTATATAGATATTTTTATCATTAATATACTGAATTGATATTTTTTTAGAAGTATTTATATACTTACTGTTGTGTCATATAATAAAAAGGGGAACTATGGGTGAAGTAACGTTTACAACTAGTGCTTATGCAAAAATGATTCTTCACGCAGCCAAATATCCACATTGTGCTATTAACGGCATTCTCCTCGCGGATGGTAGTAAAGTTAAAGATGATGCTAAAAACCCAGACCTTGATATTGTGGACGCTATGCCTTTATTCCACCATAGTCATAACCTAACACCAATGGCTGAAGTGGCTCTAACACAGGTATGTGGTTTTTAAGTGGCTTAACTAATTTAATAATAATTATAACGTGGTTGTTTCAAAACATACTAGATCTTTAATAATTTAAAGTTGTTGTGTTAAAATAGAATGTTATTGCTTTCAGATAGATAACATGGCTCAGACAGATAATCGTATAATAGTAGGATATTATGCTGCTTGTGAAAACTATAATGACAGCAGTGTTGAGAAGTGTCCAAGTACAAAAATTGCTGAGAAAATAGCAGAATTCTTCCCATCTGCACTTTTTGCTGTGGTAAATATATTTTATAATTATTGCACCTATTTAATTATTTTAAGAAAAATTGGTCCTTTTAAATAAAATAATATGGGAAATTTTATAAATATGAAAGTAATTGTTTCACATATTTTCATTACAAACCATTATATATAAAAGTGCTTTATATTTTTTATAGATTGAAAATAAAAAGTTAGCCAGAAATATGACATCACCAGCCTTAAAAATTCATCGATTTAATGATGGAAAGTGGAAACTTCAAGAAACTAGTAAATTATTGTTCCGTGAGTTAGATTAATTTAAATTTACCAGAATTTAAAAGTAAAACCATAATTTGGCCAACCTCCCTGATCATTTAGGTAACATAAGTTACAAGTTTGTCTTAAGCCACTATTAAGCTATTTATAGAGATATTAAATTAAGATATTTGTAGAGATCTCAGAACTACACTTTTATTTTGTATATTTCTGTTAGCTTGTTGAAAATTGGTGAAATTATAAATAAAAATACATATAATATTTCAGCTCCCCCTCTACAGCAATCTGAAGTTTTAGAGTTAGTGTCACATTTACTCCAGTGGGAAGCATCTAAGGATTTGGTTGACTTTGACAATTATCTAGACGATATGTCACAAGATTGGAGCAATGTTGGTATTGAAAAGATGGTTCAGAAGGTTACAGAAAAATTTGAGGCTTAACAACATAATTGTGTTAGTCAAATTCGGCTTACTTTTTCCACTACACTACTTTTGCAATTAGCCTTTAAGAAAAGTTTCTAATTAACTAAATTTTGTTCATGGCCAACTGCATGGACACAGGGTTATTGGAATACTAATAAAATAATAATAATTCCTGGTTTAAAGTATAGTGTAATGTAGGGTTGATATTTTGTTGTTATTTTTTGTTTCTATATATTGAGGCAATGTATGAAATAGGTATGATAAATGCATTTATGTCAAGTAGACAAAACTTATGACTAAAATTATATTTACTTCCTTATTTATTCAAGTATAGATATTTTCATTAAAATTGTATGTGTACAATAAAAAGTGATTATTTAACAAAGTATATTTATTACAATAAATACTTAGTTGAGGTCATTAAAATAATCTTCTATTAGTTTCTTACATTTATTGATACCACTTAAGTCAGAAGCCTTTCCTTGAAACTTCCCATGTTTAAATGCACCTTTTCCTTTTAAAATCTCTGTTATCCTATAAAATAAACAAAAATTTATGAATACTCATTCTTTAAATCTCGAGTCAGAAATTTATTAAACTATTTGTGTTCACATTAATCTCAATTTACTTAGCCATATTAGTTTTAAATTTTTTATTGATAAAATCAATCAATCAAAGTATTTAATAATCACATGGAAAATTAACTTATATTATTTTTAAACTTTACAGCAAATTCTATTTAATAATATCCCACATATCAATTGTAATTGCTAGGTATAATAGTTTTCTATTAAACACACACTTTTGTCCCCAATTTCCACCATATATCGGCGGCCTACCATCAGGAAAGAATTTTTCTATTGCTGAAAATCAAACTCTAGACTTCTGTAACATGGGTAAACATGCTATGCCTTCATAGCAACAACAACTCAACCTCTATTTCAATTAAATTTTGAAATTGTTTTGAAAAATACTTACTGTGCTCCTAATACATTACAATGTTCCTCTGGTCCTTGTATAATAATTTGTCCTTCTTTAGGTTTATCAGGTTCCTCAGAAGCACAAAATATAAACAGCCCCTCCTTTTCCAATCCTTTACATATGGCCCTATTAAATTCTGGTGTTGCTTCTTTTTTAAACATAAACACATATTTAGGCTTTGGTTGATTGTTTATAACCCTCTCAATTTCATACTGAGCCAATTCAGTAAGGACATTTTGTAGGTTTTTGTTAACTGTTTTAAAATTTTTCTGCAATTTTTGAATAAGTTCTTCATGTCTTGTAGGATCGTTTCTGAAATTGAATTTATCAAAATAAGTATGAATTCTATCACAAATCTTTAAATTTGAAAAAAATTAGATCTCAACTTTATCTTTAAAGATAAATACATACTTCAATATGACAGTTAGAGCTTTCTCCTTGTCCAACATATTTTGGAAAATGTTTATTACACGATTTCCAACCAAAAATCTCAAATTAGTCTTTCCTTTCTTGCCTGGTTCTGCACCTAACAGTTTAATAACTTGTAATTGACTGAAATAAATATAATAAAGTACAATTCAAGTGGTGATATTATACAGAAAATGTTTATTATTACTTATTTTGGCATTGGTCAAGTAATAAAATATCTTGCCACTTATTTCTCAAGGACAGTTACTGTAGCAAAATGGAGACACTATACTTTGTTTTGAATAGATCTAAACAATTACCTTAAATTTGACACATGGGTACCACAGCACATATTTTCATCAACATCTCCAATACATATAATTCTGATTGTGTCCATACAGTCATTAGGCAAGCCCCTTAAATGTGCCTATTATGCAACATAAATAAATGAATATAATTATATAAATGGGATTAATAAATATCATATATAACAACACCCTGCTCAGTGTAAGGGCGCCTTTGTCTGAATTTTTCCTTATTATGTAGTTCTTAACCTAAAAATATGGTTTTATTAAAGCAATACGGTAAAAATTGTATCCTTACCTTATCTAAATTGGGGTCATTTGCTTTACATAACTTAACTTTAACTGGTAATGCTGTTTGTATTAATGAATTACATCTTTTTTCTACGTTTTGTAATATTTTGGGATCAACACTTGGTATATCTATTTCAATGTAACTATCATCAGAACCAAGCCACCAGCTTGTTGTTGGTAAATCATGCTCTTTCTCTAATATAGCTGACAGCAGGTGTTGTCCTGTAAGAATATAATATGTCTAAACTTATACTGTTACTGTTAAACTTATAGTTTAGTTATTTTTAACTTAACTATAACTTAATATAAATAACCCACTGTACTATACCTTAATGAAATGGACATTATCAATTACATTTATTACCTGAATGTTGTTGCATGTGGTCAAATCTCCTTTCCCAATTTATTTTTAGAGTCACATTAGTTCCTACTTCAATTGGCTCCTTGGTGAAGTGAAGAGCTTCCTCACCCTTTCGAAGAACTTGCAAGACTTTTACTTCATTTAGCCACCCCAAATCATGTGGCTTAAAAACAAAATTAGGGTCAACATGTCAAAAGCACTAATAATTTATGTAACAGTATTCTAAAAATAATTAGGGTAAAGTTTCAACAAGTGGTAGAACCTACTTAGCATGATATTTGAACATCCAAATTGATTGGCATGACTTTGAAAATTGAAATAATAAAAACTACTTACTTGACCACCTCCAGCTGGGAAAAGAATTGTGTTCTCAACTGTTATTTGGTAACCCTGGAATTTTGTTGATTTGCCATATTCTACTACTGGCTCCGTAGTTGACTCGCATTTAACCACTTTAGAAGTAAACTGCCAATGAACCAAAATAGTTTTTTATATTATTACTGAGATATCAATTATGGATGTAAAATTCAAACAATAACATAAGTAACTTTAAGCTTACTCACCTCTTTTAAAAAGCTATCTTCTTGGCATTTAAATACCATTTTGAGCGGTACCAAAATTTTGAAATTACACTGTGGAATATTTCTGTAATCAATTTTTCTTTTGCCGAAGAAAAATTATTTAGAAATTAGAATATTCGAAATATTAGGAACACAATCGGAATCACTTCGGAATCGGAAACTCTAAAAAAATAATAAATATTACACATAGGGATGTGACATTCTGCATAAAAAATAATCGATTGTTTGATTAATAGATTTTTCCTAATTTTTGAATTCATTCAAAATAAACACGTTACATATTTATCATGGTTTTCTTCATTAAAAATAAAAAATAGAAATTATAAACACAAATTAAAGTTTTAGATTAATCAAAATCGAAATTAACCTAATCTCGTTTTAATAGATTTTGGTGAAATTTTATAGATGAGTGTATGCCTTTTTAGTAGCACATAACAATTTTTGGCTGTCTTTTTTATTGAATGTAACCTTGTGCTGCTGAATAAATTTATTTTACTTTTAAATTATAGTGTTTAATTCAAACTTGAGTTTTTTATAAAATTAACTGGTTTTTCATCCTTTCGATTTTTTATAAAAAAACATCAATGCATCGAGTATATTTATACATCTTCAAAGCATCGGATCTATTCAATGTATCGCATTGTAAACATCGATGTATATCGAATATCCCTAATAGTACGGGGTCCGGGTTATAAAAGACCAGACATAATGTCGGGAGGTGGCAGATGAAAAATCGACTATGATTGATTTTCAATTTAAAAAAAAATCGATTATTTATTATATTAAAATCGCGAACAAAAATCGATTTTGATCCATTATTTCCATAATCGATTATTTTTTCACATCCCTAATCAATACCTCACCAAAGCATCGGATCTATTCGATGTCTCGCATAGTAAACATCGTTGTATATCGAATATTCCTAATCAATAAAATATCTTTATTCAAGTAGGTAACCAATACACTTTTGAATCGTCAAGTTAAATTAATCTAAATTTACATTTACTACCAGTTCGCAAGTCAAGGGCGTAGAGCGGGTAAGAAGAACTGGCAAAAACTTTCCGCCACTCTTTTTAATCGCCAATATTGTCATACAAATTGTTTGAACTGGAGCAATTCAATCCCAAGATTAGGATCATTTAAGTAGTCCTCAAATTTATAATAAGCTTTGTTGATTAATTTTCGTTTAACGAGGGCTTTGAATTTATTTAGTGATAATTCTCTAATTTCGCTTGGGAGCTTGTTGTAAAAGAATACAATTTCCATATAAGGAGTGGTTTATCTTTTGGAGCCTGGTTGGTCGTACACTCAAATTAGTTCTATTTCGCGTATTATACTGGTGAAAGTCACCATTTGTTTTAAAATCTTTATATTTTTTTGGACATACAACAAGGTTCAAGAATATATTGACCAGATAGTGTCATAATATTTAATTCCTTAAACTTATTCCGTACCGACTCCCTCGAGAAACACAACAAATACCCCGAACAGCCCGCTTCTGCACTTTGTTCTATTCCTAATAGTTTGAGCTTATAAAAAATCAGACAATGTCGAGAGGTGGCAGATTAAAATCGACTATGATTGATCCAAAATCTTGATTTGCACAGGATATGTTTCTTTTTATAGTGATACATTAGAAAGATTTTATTTTCCATATTAATATAATCATCTTCACAAGAAGAATCTGACATAGTGAAATTCACAAAAACGTCTTGATGCTACTAAGGGCTGCCCAAGAATACTGGTGCTCATTGCTCAGCTCCCCGGCCCCCGCTCGCAAAAGGATGCACAACCTCGCTGGATGGAGCGAGAACCACAAAATGAACGGAGTAGTCGTTCATTTTCATTTCCCGCTTCCCGCTGAGCCTAGTTGAGCTCGTTGTCAGTGGAATGCGAAATAAATTATTTTAAAAACTCTTTCAAAAGAAGGCAAAAGCTATTATCATTTCAAACTCTGTTCCGTCGGTCAACTATTTCTCGCTCAAAACTTTTGCAGTGGAAAGCGGGCATTATAATCACTTATTGTTTGATATAATAATGTATATATAGGGTTATTGCTAATGCGATGTATTTGCTATGCTATTTATTTATAATTTTAAACCCTGTATAAATTTTTGTGTTATCGTGTTTTTTAGCTTTTTTCAAAATAAGTCAAAAATGATGACACAGATTACCAAAGTAGTAGCCAGTCGATAATGCGCTGATGCAAAATGTAAATAATCATTGTTTGACATTGGCACCTGGCTTTGAAGACAGAAAATTGAAATTAATTGAAGTTTCGTTTTTGAAGAAGGACGAAAGTTGAAACTCGAAGGTTAGAAATTAGTGTTTAGTAATTGACTGCAGACAGCAAAAATTTGCATTCTGTAAGACGTTACAGTAGTTTCTTTATTCAGAGTTAATTTATAAACGCTCTACCGCGGAGAAAATTCAAATCATGCAGCAGCTAACAATTTTCATGGTAAGCAATGTTCTGCATGTTTATAACTTTTGCTTCTATTAAGTATTAACCTCGTTTGTTTTTCAAAAGGATATTGAAAGTTCTCGCTCGTATATCGACGAATTATATTCTGCGGACGAGACGAAAATTTTAGAGGCTCTAATTGCGTTGAAGAATTCAGTTATAGGCAGTAACAGACAGAAGTCTTCGGTTATTCAACAAGGCATAGTACCAAGGCTGCTCCAGTTAATGTCTGAGCAGAACTGGGATCCTAATATTAGATTAGAGGCCACTATTACTATTGGTAATTATGTCTCATGTTTATAAATCAAGTGTTGCTCAATGTCATCACAAAATAGATTAGCACTGATAATTTTATTGCTAAATTACATTTACAAAACAACTTTGTTTACATTAATTGAGTTATATATTTTAATTAATATGGTAAATACAAAGTTGGGTTTGTTGCTACTTTATTCTTAGACTGTGGGACTAATTTAATATACAGTTAAGTAAACTCTATACAGCAATCTTAAGGGGCTGTGCATTGTGCAAAGTTTTAAAAAGTTGTTCTTATATCAAAATAAAAAAAATGTTGCATACTATGGATGTTTAGGTAAAACTACAAAAGCTGAGTAATTTTGATGTGTGAGTTAGTTTGTCATTAGATTAATAGTTACAGTGTAAACTCTTTATAACGAATTTCAAGGGACCAAGTATTTTAATTAGTTATAGAGAGGTTTCATTATAGGGAGGGATGAATTAATGTATGGTTTTGTGTTAAATCAAACAAATTTGACTAATTTTTATGCTATAGTAAATCTACGCCTTTACACTAAACATTTCATGGTTATCTGTTTTCTACATATGTTACAGAGTATAAAATCAGTATATACCATTAAGTTTTCTATTTTTGCTATTTTATAGAAAGCATTTAGATATTTATATACTTTTTATCCAGGTTCCTTAGCAAAAGGCACATCAGATAATGTCACTGCATTAGTTGAACAAGGTGCAGCAGTGGCTCTTGTGGAGATATTGAAAGATGTGCCAATAGGAACAAAATTGGCTGAAGCTAGCCTTTGTGCTTTAAGGAGTATATTCCTTAATCCTCCTGCACCAATATCTGCCTTGCCATCCGAGATGAGACTTCTGTCACGGTTGACTCGTAAGTTCTGTATTATAATTGGGTACAACATTAAATATTGTCCCACTAAAATGTGTTATACATTTAAACTTTTTGTATATATATTATGGAATATATTGCCTGTTAAAACAAGTTTGAGCTATTTAACTTTTGTGAAATAAGTATACGGTCATCTAAAGATTATATATGTTAACTTAACTTACTATCTTCATAACTCTAGACTTCTAAACATTACTGCATTGGACAATCTGCAACAATTCAACTTTAATAAATATTAATACAGCCTAGTGTTTTTGTATTCCACAGTCAAGAAATTTGTTACAGAAATAGCAAGAGAGGGTTCACCTACTGCGCGTGCTTGTGTAGTCCGTATACTATCAATATGGTGTGGAGGTCCTATTGAACAGGAAGCATTATGTGCTGCAGGTGCTTGTAATGCAATAGCAGCGCTACTGGCACCTAAAGGCACATCACCACCACCCATAGCAAGGGCCTTGCCAGCATTGGATTTGTTAGCTGCAATGTGCTTTGAAAATGCTAATGTTTCTCAAGTTGCATTGAATACTAGGTGAGATCTTATATACTATTATATTGGAATAGTATTAGTAGCAATTCTTAACTTTGAGTTTGTAGAGTTTTTTATATATGCAGGTAACTCTTGAACACATGAACAGAATAAATATGGAAAATATGGCTTATACATTTTTATCAGAGAAAAAAAAATATTTCCAGGTATGGAGACAAAACAATTCCTGAACTTTTGACTCTCCTAGTGTCAAGAGATAAACCTTTGCCTGTAGCGATGGGTGCTGCCCGTTGTCTCACTTTTATACATAGAGCAGGAGCAATAACAGCTGATGATAGCAGGTAACAAATACTTTGACAATTTTAAGACCGTTCTTGTTATGTTTTAAGAATAATTATGTTGTAATAATAATATTTTTATGTTTTTGTTTAATTTGGTCTTGGTAGTTGGCCCATCTTATAAACTGGTATTTAACTCACCTGTATTTATTTAATTTATTTTTCGGAATTCAAACAAGATTAAAATAATTAGTTTTAGTTACATTTACATTTCTTTTATTTTATTAGTCACCTAATGATTCAATTTATTTTGTTTAGTGAGTTTGTAATGAATTTTTGATGAGCTTATACATTTTCAATCATCTAAGATCATCTAAGTTGTTATATGTTATCAATTTAGTTTCTATCAAATCTAATTGGCATTGACCCAAAGTTACGATAGCCTTGTATTCAAGTAGTTTTACCTTGATGAGGTAACATGCAAAAGTTATATTATTTCATTAAGTCTTCTACCTGAGCTATTATATATAGGTAATATGTAAAATAGTAGTTCTGATTATAATTTTTTTGTTATTTAACTTTAGGAGCCAAAATAAGAGCTTATAACACTGATTTTCACCATTTGTAATATGACTCTAATTTCAGTCCCTATTGTAGACTGCACATTAATCTAATAGTTAATTATTTAATTACAGAGTGGTATTTGGAGCGCTGCCATGCCTTGCTCGACTTTGTACCAAAGACATGCCCGAAGACATTAGAGCAACGGCGGCTGAAACGCTGGCGTATTTGGCTGAAGTAAGTTCTATCAAATATTCAAGTTCACAGTAAAGTCACCTCAAAGAAATAAGTTAAATTTTATTTATTTATTTTTTAATGTTAGATTTTAGATTTTAACACATTCTATAATAAGTATTAGGTACAACGTCATCGGCTGTTACGACCAAATATGAGTAGTCCCTTCGATGTCGTTATAACAGATTTTGACTGTATTTATTTTTCTTTATGTTCCAATGTATCAGTGTGCAGTGCGTTGGAACTCGGCAAGCTTTAAATAATAGTTTTATAATAACCAATTGTCTAGGTGCCTTCATTAATAATTTTAACTCTTCACCACAGGTAGACACATCACTCCAAAGACTAGCTGCGATATCAAATCACCTCATGAGCTCGCTGGCGGACATAGTAAATTGTCCGTCGCCAGCCGCGAAGCAGGGCGCATTCAAATGTTTCGCCTCACTCGGCGCAAACGCAGAAGATATAAGAAAAAGAATAATCGAAACACATGGTTTAATGGTTCATATTGTTAACGGAATGAATAATCCCGAACCTTCGGTGAGTATATTATTGATTGATTGAATGTACAAATTTTTTTACTAAACTAGCTGCTAGATAGACTAAAGATGCTCACTCAAAAAAAGATTACGAACGTCGTTTCGCCTTAATATCATTTTTTTACTTAGCTTACCTTGTTAGTAGCTACGTACCAATATACGAAACATTTTCTAAGCTATCCCATAGAGACTGTTCGCTTTTCCGGAAAAAACACCTCAGTACTAAATAAATACAAATTATTTTATGTTTCCAATTTTTCTCTCCATAGAAACCTTCCTCAGAATTTGTCCAGTTTTAATATATAAAATTCTCGTGTCACAGTTTTCGTTGCCATACTCCTCCAAAACGGCTCGACCGATTCTCATGAAATTTTGTGTGCATATTGGGTATGTCTGAGAATCGGACAACATCTATTGTTCATCCCCCCTAAATGTTAAGGGTAGTCCACCCCTAAATATTTTTTTTTTATTTTTAGATATTTTTTCTGTGTTTATTTTTTTATGATACAGCATTAAAAAATACATACAAACCCCCTAACTTTCACCCCTCTACGATCAACCCCTATTTTTTTATTAGAAATGATATATATGACAAAACTACGTTTGCCCGGTCAGCTAGTATTTATATATCTAATACAGTGGCCTCTTGATAATTTGACACTCGTTAATTTGAATTCCTTATTTCCGATTCCTTGAAAAATACTCAATAAATTGAATAAAATCAATGATATTAAGTGCCCTCGGTAATTTGAAGTTAAAGGAATAGTATCTTGCTCGCGATAATTTGAGTCCGGGCTACCCGACTCTCTATAATTTGAAGTGTTTGTCATGCATACTTCGACTTGTCCATAAAAAACCAAAAGACCATGTCAATTGTACCATAATATATGAGTAAGTTCGCATTCCAGTCTTCTTTCAAACGTCAATAAGTCATGTTAATGTTTGATGACATCATAAAAATCATAGACTGAAGTCGCGTACTCAAAAAAGTTTACGGATTTCTTTTCGAAATAAAAATTTGACAATAATTGTTAATACATTATAATATACAAATAATATGTCACGAATTTGATCAAACTCTTATTTACTTGAAATTCCCCCTAGTGATTATTTGAACTCTTGGTAATTTGAAATTTATCTCCGGTCCCCTCTTGAATTGTGAATTATCGATAACATTGCTAAACAAATAATTTATTTCGTTAGGTAAGGTTAGCGGCGGTCCGATGTCTCCATTCTCTCTCGAGATCAGTCCAACAGTTAAGAACTACATTTCAGGTATGTTAATTGTTTTTTCATTATTTTTATTTTCATGAATGTTTGAAATATCGATAGTCTGTGTAAGTATTAATTAATAATAGTAGTTAAGTCGATTTATCTTGGCTGATACGTATCGATATTATACATGACCCTACCAGAAATGTGCGGATGTCTCGTAATCAACTGAACCGATATTATTACATTTTTAACTGTTTATATGTAATACAAAAAAGGCCGGCAACGCACTTCCCAGCCCTCTGGCAATGTGAATATTTATGGGCGTTTATCATATCACTTAATATCAGGTGAGCCGTTTGCGTTGTTATTTATATTTACAAGAAAAGTACCTTTTTTTAGTTTTAGTTTTCGACAAATTTGTGATCACATACAAATTTAGCACGTGCTTGAAATGTGGATCGTACATACATATTATGAAATTTCAACAATTACTACATACACGCCATAAAAAAATAAATCAATGGCGCTACAACCTTTTTAGGTTTGGACCTCAGATTTATGTATATGTTTCATAATTTCATATCTAATAGGCAAGTAATTGATCAGCCTTCTGTGCCTGACGCACGCCGTCGACTTTTTGGGTCTAAGGCAAACCGGTTTCCTCACCATATTTTCCTTTAAAGTCGTTTAAAAAACAAAAACAACAAAACATTATTCATGAAGTAGATTTATTCTAATACCATGACCAATATAGAGTTATAGCGCCATTTTTATTACTAGCTGTATCGCCTAACAGTCAATTAATGTCGTGTTACAGATTGGCTGAACATAATTTATGATTTTATTAAAGTAATACATAAATACAAAATAAATAAGTATGACAATTCGGTAATAGTAGTCTGAATACTATTACCGAATTGCCACTCCGTTGAGTAACGTTTTACAATGTGCTTTGATTTGTTGTATATTTAAGTAGTTTGTTATTATGTTTTCCTTAGTATACGCAAAATAAATTTCTGAACGCATGCATAAATATTCGACAGCCAATATATTTGCCGATCCTTTTCCATTATATTTTTAAATCTAAAATACGCCATTATCAGAATATTGTATATATATCTTGTCCATTCGTAACCTTCGTAAATACGTTATTTAATTTGGGGAGCTTTTACCGTATCGACGAAGTGAACAGATGTTTGACAGTTAGGAAACTCATAGTATAGGATTTTTTTCGTCAATTTCCCAATGTTAAATAGTTATTCTGCAGGACAAAGACATATACAACAAATCAAAAACCGTGAAAATCGGTCCAGCCGTTCTCGAGTTATGTGTTCGAACAAACCAGACTTTTATTTATTAAGATTTTTAATACATTTCTTCAAATTTCTTCTGTACAAACATTACCTGTCCACATCGTATCCCTAACTTTAATAATATCCACTAACTGACGTGAGACTGATCTTAAATTAAATTATAATGATTCATGTGCACTTTTTATTATTAGGTATTAATTTTTTTTTTAATAAATAAATACAATTCTGAATGTTATAGGATCACTCTGTCTGGCGTCCCCTGATGCTGCTGTTAAGTGAGTCTCCAGGCACCGAACTCCTCACAGTTGGCTCTTCGACTCTCTGCAATCTACTTCTGGAATTCTCACCCGCCAAGGAGCCCATGTTAGATCAAGGTTTATACTAAAATAATACGAATTTTAGGCCTTGTTTACCATATTTAATTGCTTTATAAATGTTAATTGACATGTTTAACACATGTATTTTGTAATTTCCAACCATTTAAGCTGAAGGAGGTGGAGCTTTAATAAATGTTTTAGCTAAAATATAAATGATTAATAAATTATATTCAAAAAATTCAGTTTTATAATCTATTAAATGCTTTACAAATACAATTTAACTTAAGAGGAATTGTACCAGAGACACGAATCTCATTCATAAAGTCGTGCCCCCAAAATATTCCTAAAAACATAATAGTACTTATCTGTCTTTTTTGTCACACCGTAAACACAATTTGCCAGAAAGAGGCAAAAGAGTACTTTATACGTAGTTAAGTTTAGACTGATTTATTTTTTTCGTGTAGTAGTCTGTGCCTAAAGTGAGAATCTGTGGACCTATTTCGGTGAGCGATATTTTAAAAAAGTTTCTATATACATTCGTTTCTAATTAAACACATTTTCCAGGCGTCGTAGAGATGCTTTGTAACCTAACGAAGAGGCCGGAAGCGGCGCTTCGCCTAAACGGAATATGGGCACTTATGAATATGGCTTTTCAGGTGAGTTTCTATTTCTATGTATAATAATATTATTAATAAAAGGATTGTGTGGTTTTATGAACCCACGGTAAAAGTGAAACTTTTTTACATTATAGACATGGAACTAAATTTTTTGGGAATAATATCCATTAAGGGTATAAAAATCGCTTTATCAATCTTAATTTTATACTTGGAAAATTGGAATAATAATGGGAAATAATAAAAGTAGACTAAGTCTCCAATTAATATTTTTATTGAACTCTGTGTCTTAGAGAGTACGACATTCATAATACTTAACAATTATTTAGATTATATATACATATTAATAACAATGATTTAAATTATATACACATATTAAATAATATTCTATACACTACACGGTCAGCTGCTGCGAACTATGGCCGCCGCCATATTGGCTTTGGCTTTGAGCGCCTTTCACTTTATCCCTACTCCGCGGCCGACCGTCACGCGACATGCGACACACAAACGAAAAAGTTTGAGACGATATGATAAAAGTTTTACTTTAATAACAATAATGAAGCCTGTTTATTCCCAATATTTACAAATGTTGATTATACAGTTTAGATTTGTTTTATTCCTTTTTTTTTCTTGTTACTTGATATCCTAACTTCTTCTGTGCTATTGATTGGAAACCCCTTCAATCCATGGCTTTCTTTCTCCAGTTGCTTCCTGATAACGCTTCTATATCTTCTATCCACCTTTTATAGGGCTCCTTCTTCTTCTTCCCCTCAGTTATTTCCATATACTTGTCTTTAAATTCCACCTTTTATCTGTGCATCTTGCGATATGTCTTACTCTTGCCCATTGCCAATCCAGTTTTAAGGCATAATGTAAGACTAATAACTTGCTTTTGTCTTATTTTTTCGCTTTTTACTTTGTTTCTTCTTATTTTTCTTCTTCTTTGCATTGCTGACATGGTACTAGTTTGGTTTTTATTTTATGTTGTATGTCCAATACTTAACTTATATTAGATACATAGATAGGTCAAAATTATTAAAAAAAGTCGCGACTATTGTATACTTTCAATTTACTTTCTATGAATTAATTTCCGACATCACTCAAAACTAGATTGCGACGGAAGAACACTAATCACCAAACAGGACTTTACTATTCTATTACGTTAACTACTCGATATTGCGTATCGTTTGTTCTAAGCGATTAATAAAGATATCACACTGCTCCGTTACGTATATAGTCCTCTTCTTTGTGAGAGTATTATTATAATCGATTCTGTGGTTTTAGAGTTCCTTTATAAATCAAATCTTTATAAAACGAAAGGTTTTTGAAAACTTCATGGTAGGTCTATAAATAATTGTTGATTGATTAAATAAAAATATTTTTCTGTATAGGCGGAACAAAAGGTGAAGCAACGAATATTAAGCTGTCTCGGCACAGAGCAAATGTTCCGTCTCTTAGGTGATAGTGATACACGGGTTATTATGAAGACTTTAGGCTTATTACGCAACTTACTGTCGACGAGGCAACATATCGATGCTATTATGAGCGAGTTTTCTTCGCAGGTCATGCAGGTAATATATTTATTTATTTGTTAATATTGTTTTATTACCCCATAAGTAAAATACAGGCAGTCCTCGACTTACGTCGTTTCGATTTAAGTCGTTTCAAGTTACGTCGAACAATGTTTTGACACTATTCCTAAAGCATACGTCATTTGTTTCGATTTTCGACGTAGGAGTGTCTTGTGCAAAATTTGGACAATGCCATGAAAATTTTCGAAGAAAGTGATCCTAATTTTGAGAGAAGTTTCAACGTTAATAACAAAATTTGTGCAGCCTATCAGTGTTAACAAGATCTGTAATAGCAAGAAGCGAAGCAATCTCGAATTAACAGTTTCTTTAAGCTAAAAGTTTAATTTATTATTTCTCATTACATATTAAAGTTTCATAATTATTATTAAAATTAATAACACACAAATACCAAAAATAACTAGCAATTTCATAAGTGCATTTATAATTATTTTAAGAACTTTCTTTTGATAATAAAGTATGTATATCCTTTGTTATATATGCAGGTTTTTTTTTTAATTTCAAGTCCGTGTGGAACCTAACCCTTGACTTTTACATGTAAACACACGAAAAAATATGTCTCGAGTACGTCGTTTCGATTTACGTCGCGTATTTCGAGAACCTAACGTGCCGTAAGTACAAGGACTGCCTGTATCTGTGGTTTAGATTGTAAGTCGGTAGTTCGGAGAAATATAGTCGTTCGGCAGCAACAGTTAATTGTTTGGCATAAAAATTATCAATGAACAAGGAATTGTATGACCAAAAATTTGGGATAAACACAAATATATTTCAAAAGCCCAAGGACAAATGTCTGTCAAATATATTCCAAAAAGCACGCAGTAGGTAGGTAAAGCGCGTATATTTTTAAGCTTTCATCAAAATCTAATCGACTTTACTTTACCGCTAAGTTTTTACGAATTCTTAAAAAATATTAAATATATATAGGTATCGTAACTGAAGTGTTTTGGACGATACACTGGATTTTATACGAACGAAAGAACGAACGAACGACAGTAATGTCTAAGCTAAAGAGGAAAATTGATTTCAGGCTGTGATAGTCGTCTTAGAAGGCTCATATCCGGCGGAAGTGAAGGAACAAGCGTTATGCATACTCGGAAATATCGGAGATGGAGAGAAAGCAAAGGATTTTATTATGGCCAATGAAGATGTTCTCAGAAAGTTGGTGGATTATTTGGTAAGTATTAATGATGCTAGTAATCGTTAGACATTATAATTTTTGTTTTGTGTAACTGTTTTGTGTCGTCGACAAATTTATATTCATCACCTTATATTACAAATACGGAGTGATATTAGAGGATAGACAAGAAATGTTATATATTTCCGAATTTGTAATTTTTTTACATACTGGTACACTTTTACATCAAGTTTCCTTATAAAATTTAATAAACTACACTCTACGAAACTCTGTCCTCCCCACACTATCACTGCAATATTTGATACAAAAATTTATCATATATATATTATATATTTTATGATTAATTTTTGTGTGTGGTAATAAGTAAAATCCACATTATCACTAGTGTGCAAAACATTACAAAATTAAGTAAATTTAGCAGTACTTCTCTGCCACATATTTATTGTATTGTTTTTGTTATATAGATATTAGGGCGTTAACCGAACCGATTCTAAGCATCTAACAAGCAACGATATTGTTTGATCCCTTACAACCGATATTTATTTTTACTAAGAACGCTTCATTAGTCTACCAAAATGGAGAACTACTTAGACAAATTTTGGTTCTACATAAACCATAATTTCATAGGTAAGGGCCTAATATATGCGTGCGTTACGCAGGCGCATCCAGAGAGCAAACTCCAAGAAGCGGCCTTGTTCGTTGCCGGCAATTTGGTCTGGAAAGGCGAAGCCGGGTGTGCGGCGAGGCAAGCGAGACTCGCGGAGTTGGGCGTTCTTCGGGCGCTTAAACTCCTGCGACAAAGGCCGGATGCCGCACACCTGCATGATAAGTAAGTATTGGAGAACCCCACGAGATGTAATTGACAGCTCACTCTTAAATCTATCAAAATCTATGCCCAGATTTGAGTCAAACTTTAGTTCCACGGGAGTAGATTATTGTTTACTATTGCTTACGCAATTATTAATCCGTCTCGAAGGACCACTACTGGATACTGTCGATTATTAATACTTAAATAAGCTTAAAGCTTTCAGCTAATATCTAATATATAAAATTCTCGTGTCGCGGTGTTTGTGGTTAAAATCCTCCGAAACGGCTCGACCGATTTTCATGAAATTTTGTGTGCATATTGGGTATGTCTGAGAATCGGACAACATCTATTTTTCATCCCCCTAAATGTTAAGGGTAGTCCACACCTAATTTTTTTTTTTTAATTTTTAGATAATTTTTTTAAATTTGTTTATGATACAGCATTAAAAAATACATACAGTCCCTAATTTTCACCCCTCTACGATCAACCCCTATATTTTATTATAAATGATATACATGGCGAAACGACGTTTGCCAGGTCAGCTAGTACTTGTATAAATATCCACTTTATATACATTAAAACCTTTTTTTAAATGGGTATTACTCGCATATACTGTCATTAGGTGTTTAATTAAAGGATCAATATTATTTTCAGAGTCAAAACCGCCCTGGCACAATTCAACGAGTTGACATAAGCTTTATGTTAAGAAGTTTTGTTTCTCCCTGTTACTTAGTCATCAAGTCAGACTAGTTTTATTTTGACCTCTAGTACCTACTTCATTAATATAAACTAAATCAATCTGAACAATATTCTTTCGTCTTTCTGTCAAATTATGTTAACGATGTGATAAAAAAGGGACGTTTCTATAATTCCGAATGTATATTTGATCGAAATTAACACAACTAACGCCCGAACCCAATAACCTATATCAATCCATAATCCACTATCTCAGATAGTAATATTAATCCAAATGTTGTAACAAGAGATCCAATAACCAATGGATGGATTGTAATAGCCATCTGTCGATACAACCTATCCATAGGAGGTCGTATCGGTATCTGTGGATACCCTTTGTATGAAAATGACAGTTGACGAAAGCTCCATTTCAACAGTTAAAACTGTTTATGTTTTAAACATACACATGTATATTTTAATGTTACTTGTAAGCTTTTATTTACATTATTTGGTTTACATTGGTTATCAAATATGAAAACTCGGTAAAATGGAAAGACAAAGAGCATTTATCCGTCGCCAAAAATGGATTGTCTTTGTAGGGTTTGGTTAAAGGGGTGCAGATAGGAGATCCATTGACTGTCACGGTCTGATCTCAGATTATTTTCAATCTGAGATTGTGGATTGATTATTGGGTTTGGGCGTAAATGATTTACACTTACCAAGATTAGCTTAGGTCTTATATGGGCAGGCTTCGTATACAATTTTATGTTTCCTCCAGTTTATTAGGTAAGTTATATAAATTTAATAAATTGTATCATATAGATAATGTGATCTATACTTAAAAACGTCGATAAAGATGTAGTACATAATATGCATTTATATAATAATAATAAATCGTTTATTTGCCAAGATAGTGCTACAATTAGATCGACCAACTACAAATAGCCGCACAATCAGCCATATATAAATAGGCATGCAAATGTCATATTACTTTTACAATGTCATATAATAAGAACATTAACATAATGTCAATTTCTATTCAATTCTATAGAGTGGATGAGAAGAAAGTGCAAGAAACTGTCGTGTTTTGTTATTTTTTAGATAGTCTGTGCCTTAAGAGAACAGGCATGATGGTTATGCGGACTAATAAATTTTTTAACTTGGTGTTTTTTTATTGAATAAAATTTGTTTTAATCTTAATATATATAAATTACGTGTCACGTTGTGTTTCCGCTATGAACTCCTAAACTACCGAACCGATATAAATTGCACACCGTGTGTAGTTTGATACAACTTAAAAGATAGGATAGCTTACATCTCAATTTATACCCGCAATATTATTTTATTGCAAAATATTTGTTTATTATTTGACAGTCGTAATTCTAACAGATGGCGCTGTGTTGAAAGTACTAGCGTTTCACATAAGCTACAATTTAATGGCATAACCACCATTAAAGCATGGTGGTCCCCATGACTGGTTTTCTCCTACCGTTTCCCTGGAATAGGCTACTATGTAATATAACAAAAACCTTAGCCACAGCAACGCTTGGACGGTCTGCTAGTTGTTTCATATAAAGTATCAAGGCTGTGGAATTATAACGACATAACAGTGTTGTTAACCTAACAAAAAGATTTTCTCATGACCCAACCTTTAGGCATAGACTACAAAAAAAAAAGTAGAATCGCTTATAACTAAGACATACTAAATAGTGACTAATTTACTACGCAGTGATTATCTGTCTTTTTTGAAAGGATAAGAATCTTTTACCATTGAGACAATCCTTTTCGATTTAACGTAACGTAATTTGTTACGATTGCCTAAAGTAATTTAATGGAAAACCTACAAAAATATAATCCGGTATTCATAATTAAGCAGTCCAGCAACGATTTAAAATAGTCATCTCTTTTTATGAAACCGTAAACAATTTGTTAGAATGAGACGAAAGAGTACTTTAGTTCAGAGTGAAATTAGACTGTTGTTTAATGAAGGAATAAATTTTTAATCAATTATGTCAAATCAATGGATATTTTTTTTAATTGCTAAGAAACTAGAGGTCAATTACTTACTGTACATAGTTAAGTACTTGTTAACCGTTAGTTATCTATTTATTATAGTTAACGTTGATTTGTTCGCTCAATATTTTGTCCTTAATAATACTCAGTAAATTGTACACCAATGCGTTTTGTTTTAATTTTTTCTTATTACATTGTAATGTGTAACTATGGAGTATCCTAGTCTAAACACCTCATATTCTGGGACTTAATATTTGGGGTAAAATGTTATTTATATAGGAAACAAAGTACATATTTAAACGTCAAGACCATTGTTTCTATTTCAATAGACAAGAGAACTTCAATGTGTGTTGACATTATAGGCTAACCACATTTATTCAATTGAAAACAATTTCTTTCTTCTTTTCTCCTGTTAAAGATAGATTTGTGATTTTTCATTCTACATAGATAACATGGAATAAATATTCCCAACTTTTAGTCAATGTTTGTGGTGGACCAGTGTTGCCACTAGTATATCTATTGTGTCCTTAAATACGTCTTGGGTTGCTACAATACCTTTTTATATTTACCTATTCCGTGATTTATTGTTGCCGTTACATTTTGCAGAATAAATAATAATATTGTGTTATTAGAATACGAAAATAGTGTTACGTTTTTTATAGTTTTTATTTTGCATAATTTTTGCGGTAATCCTCTCTAGTATAATTTAAAGAATTGCTTGTACTTTTTCACTAATGTATATAAACATTTTATACCAATTCCATGTAGTTAAATTTCATCGACAGAGGGTGCTTTCCTCAATGTAGTTAAACTACGATAAAGTCGCGTTTATGAAATCGACTGCGTAATTTAATAGGAAATTGTATAGAATTATAATGGTCTGGATTGTAGATTTTATATTGAAATATTCGCAAAGCAAAATCGTCTTTATTCTTGACTTTTTGAAAGACCCGGTATGCCCACAGATTTCTGTATCTTTTCGTGGACATTATTTCTTAATAGACATGTTATCAGTCTTCTGTGCCTGACACACGCCGTCGACTTTTGGGTCTGAGACGGTTTCAAGTTATCAGTCTTCTGTGCCTGACACACGCCGTCGACTTTTGTGTCTAAGTCGGTTTCCTCACGATGTTTTTCTTTAGCGTACGAGAGAGTGTTATGCTTATATAGACAGAAAGTCTATTGGTTTATAGCCGGGGTTAGAACCTATGACCTCGGGGATTAGTTGTACTCTGAAGCTACTAGGCCAACCTAGGTTGTCTGATCAACACTAATGAGTAAAAAATCTTAGTATAAAAACCTAAATTACTAAAATTACTTTTCGTCGCAATCAAGACAGTTCGGTGATATGATTTAATGAAATTGATAAAATAATTATTTACTACATACAGTAGTGAGGAAGGGTCAAAGTTATACTCTAGAATCTTCTCCAAACATTTACCTAATAAATTAAGGCGATTTTGCTTTGCGTTGGATTTGTATGAACAGCATATGACTATTGTTAAATCATTATAAGTTATGCTTTTAAAACCGAGTCTACGTATAGAGTATTTTAGTATAACTTTTGTGCTTAAACTGTTTTAGTATTTGGGAACAGATTTGATTTTGGTCTATAATAAATCATTTAACGAAATTATGTAATTTTTTCGGTGCTTGCTTGCTTTTGTAACTACGAAATTTCGAATGCCGTGTCTAAGAATGTATACGTAGGCTCGGAAGAAAGCTAGTATAATATATGTTGATGTACCTCTTATGATCATAGTTTGTCCAAAAATGTTGACTGGTGACTGGTCATGAATATAAAAAAGTACAAGTAGCAAAAACATTGTCGCTATTGGAAGTTGGTTTTTCAATGAAGAGATTGCACGCAAAAATACAGAAAAATCTACGATAATTCAGATTGGTATTTGAGAGCCCGATTTTCAACTTAATTACAGGTAGATAAGGAAAGTTGTACGCCGCTGAATATAATTTGTTTGAAATTACATACGTAAAAATCAAAGAATAAATAAGTAAGTTTAGAAGGGTCTGGCAGGCTTGTGATCGAATCATCGCCGCTTTGGGAGTTCTCATATTTAAAATGTATGAATATTGGTTAATTACTTTATAGATGAACAGTTGATATTATCAGATTTATTTTTCTATACGGGTAATTGATATCGTGTCTCAGAAATATCTATTTATTCATGATAAGAAGTAAGGAATACAAAATCATGGTTTGACGCCCGTTTTTGTTTAACCTACGGTAGATTTTTCTAATAGTGTATTTTTTTAGTATGCAAAAAGCCCAAATATTGTCCTATACAATTGTAAATAAGCTACTTATATAAGATAGAGAAAGAGAGATATACTATAACCATGTTAAGGCGGCTCTTTTTAGGATTTTAAAGGTAGTTTTGTGATTATATTATGGCTGTAATATTGATTATTGTATGCTAATATATCTGCAGTGTTGGCCTTCGACTCTTATCCCTGGGGTCGTAGGTTCGATCTCCGGCTGTGTGCCGATGGACTTTACGTCTTGTGCGTATTTATCAATCGTACGGTGAAGGAAAACATCACGAGGAAACCGACTTAGACCCAAAAGTCTACGGGTTGTGTCAGGCAGAAGGATGATTACCTCCTTGCCTATTAGAAATGATTACGGAACAGATACAGAAATCTGAGTCCCAGACCTAAAAGGTAGCGCCTTTGGTACAAAAAAAAATATAGTTTTCTATAGATTACGTTGATGTTTCTATATAACATAAATATGTTGATAATGCAATTTTAAGTTTATTGTATGCCAAGCAAAAAGTTTGAGCTTTAACTATTCCTGAGACATCTATATCTATATAGTTTTTGACATATTTAAATCCAAACTTTTGTTATTTAATTTAAGCCTGAAAAATATATAAATAAAATCTGTAAAGTCATCTTAACATGGTTGCGGTATTGAAATATTACAAATAGGCACGGATTTTATACATGACATGTCGAAATAAATATATCCTGATGGATCCGATG